ATGTAAATTGAAGTACAGTACACATAATTTGCTTACCCTAGTGAAGAATGTAGCAATTAGCTAGAAAGGTACAACATTTCGAATGAGCCTGAAGACAGGTTTCTTGAAAAACTGACTTCATAGTGAAAATTCCCATCGTAACATTTGGTAAAAAGGATGAACGGAGCGAAGAAATTTCTTTTCAATTAGTTTTTCATCATGCCTGTACACTAATAAACATAAAAAGTCCTTTGCTCAACCAAGACATGTACGTCTTAATGTCGAAAAAGCATCCATGTTGTTGTCTTGTCCAAGCTAGCAAATGCTTTTTCGTAGTCAATGAAGTTGATGCAGTGTGATGAATTCCATTCAACTGATTGTTCCTCAATGATCCGTATTGTTGCCACTCGGTCTGTCCTGTTGAGGGGAGGGTGATGCCTCTGCGGTTCGTACACTTGCTGAGATCTTTCTTTAGTATTTAGATTAGGTGTCTTTCTTTTCAGTCTGTTATCCCTAATTTCTGTCAGAATGTAGTGGCAAATTTCAAATGAAGATTTGATTGACGTCGTCTTACTGACATTGTTAATGACTATGTAAGCTAGGTAGAAATGGGAGATTGAGGTATGGTTACGAGATATCATTGACAATTTCTGAGTTTTTGCTCAACTATCTTCACATACTAGACGACATCAAACATCAGAAATGTCTCCGAAATCAAGAAGCGGGCACAAAGGAATTAATTGGTTTACAATAGCTCACCAGAAAAGTGTTGGGTATATATTAAAAAGACAGTGATACTTTTCCTTGCTGGGTTAATTCTATTGTTTTGATCGTTAACTACGTATCAAGACTACTGTTTTCACTTTAACTGAATTTATTTCAGTTAAAGTTTTCGACTAGAGTATCGTTTCTGTGTCTAAATTGGTTTGTCGTCGGTACTTTTGAGTACTTTGTTTTTCGTTCTATTTGTTAGTACTTTTGGTTCTATCAATCTATAGTTTTCCACTTTTTTGGTTAGAAATCATTTTCTCCACTGAGTATTATCGCATCTAGTTCTTTTTTTAAAAAACCTCTGTCTGATGACTGGACAGTGCAAAAAAGCAATCGCCAACGTCCGGGCTGTCGTTGTCCCATTGAAAGCGGCATGCAGTGCGATTAGTGCAAGGGCTGGTACAACGACGTTTGCACGGATTTAACGCCTGCGGCTTTCAAACGGTTCAGTAAAAACGGTTGTGAATGGCTTTGTCAAAAGTGCTGTTCGGATGCAAACAGCTTGCTAACCGAGGCCATCTTATTTGTAAATGCTGCAAAAAGTGTTTTGGCAAGCGTGGTTGGGACACATTGAACAGTACTTGCTATGTCGACACGCAAATTGAGTTCGAAAACAGGTGACTCACACCGACCAAAGGAGGAAAAACTGTCTTCAAAGAGGTCTGTCTTAACTAAAACCTCTAGAAAAGTTTCTTCTCTCTCACGTCTTCTAAATGGTATCGAACAGGAAACGCCTAGAAGCCGCAATCGAAAGGCTCGATCGGCTTCTAGCGGGAAACATAACCTGACCTCCCAAATCGTCGACAACCCTCCAAAATCCCACAGTATGTTTAATGCAACTGTGGTTGCTTCTCCTAGCAACGTTGACGAATGGGTACAGGTTGTAAGGAAGAAAAAACAACGATATAAAAGAGAATCCTGGCCCCATAAAAGTAGTCAAGAAATCGAAGGCTGATCGCAGTGACAGATCCGTTATTTTTCATAGAATCAGGGAGAGTGAAAGCTCTGAACCAAAAACTGGTTTTGAGTATGACATTGTGCTGATAGAACAACTACTTAATCATCTCATGCCTGAAAATATTCCCGGAGTCACCTTGCTAAAGGTATACAGACTAGGTAGTCTAGCGAACTTGAAGCCTAATCAATCCAGAATGCTTAAAGTAGTATTCAAATCTTCGAATGAACGCAACGTAATTTTACATAATGGACATAAATTAAAGGATTTAGGAGTTTTTGTCCGTAAGGATTTGCCATTGGCAGACCGTGTAAAAAGACGAAAAGCCGAAAAAGAACTACAACTTTGGTTAGACGCTGGCGAAAAGGACCTAAAAATTCTAAATTTTCGGGTTGTAAGGCTTCGACAGAGAATGATGCCGAAACCACTATGGGTGAAGCACGAAGCCACTTAAATGGGCTTCGGATCTGTTACACTAATGCCCGAAGCTTACTCAATAAGCGATCGGAACTAGGTGTACAGATTGACTCTACAAACCCAGACAAAATCGCAGTTACAGAAACCTGGCTGACACAGTCTATAGATAGTATGGAACTTGATTTCGAGGGTTTTACGTTAGTAAGGGCCGACAGAATACAAAAGCGTGAAGGAGGGGGAGTAGCTCTATTCATTAGTAATGCTATCCCATTTGCAGTTATCGACGGTGTGTCCGATGAGAGTGGGACGTGTTAGCTAGTTGTCGCTCGAAATGTAAGGGACATGAGCTGCTGATTGGTTTGGTCTATCGCAGTCCAAGTTGTGAGGTAAATGAGGTCCCGCTAAGAAGTCTCAATACTTGGTCACAAAGTGGTCGATGCCTAATCCTAGGGGACTTTAATACACCTATGGTAGACTGGGAAAATCTGCGAACTGAATCGTCAGAAAATACCTTCGATCAGGGACTAGTTGATGCGGTTACCAAATGTAACCTAGTGCAACATGTGAAAGAAGCGACTAGGTACGACCCGGAGACTGAATCATCCTTACTAGGTCTTATGTTGACTCATTATGAGGATGACGTTGAGAACCTCCATTACGTGCCACTCCTAGGTAAAAGTGATCACGCAGTTTTGACTTTCGACTTCCATATAACTGTCAATCACGAGCACTCGTGAGCTCAATCCAGACCTAATGTCTGGAAAGCAAACATACCAGATATCACGCACTCAGCATCGTTAGTAGATTGGACAATAGACCCAGAGTCCTCAATTGAAACGGCTTGGTAGGCATTTCGAAGTTTATGCTTGTAAATTACCGCACCCTACATCCCTTGGACTATACCGAGGGCGCTGAGAAACTCTCTACCATGGTTCAGTAGGGTGGTCCGCATCCTTCTCAGTAAGAGAAGAGAAAAAGTTGGATAGATTTAGGTTACTGGGGACTGATGAGACAAAAAGCAGTATCGAAAAGCTCGGAATACCTGTGCCCCGACCCTCCGTAAGTCTAGAAATCTGTACGAAGAAAAGATTGTTAAGGAATCCATAGAATGTCCTAAACGCTTGTATCCTTATATAAACCAAAGAACAAAGAGAAGGGGAAATATTCCTGCTCTATGGGGAGACAGTACTGCCGCGTCACTAGTGGAGGACGACTTTGGTAAGGCTCAAGTGTTCTCAAACTACTTTAGCAATGTATACACCATAGAAGCACCCTTCCTGTCAGCGCATACAAATCCTCCCACACATATGCTGGATAGCGAGACCATTAAAGAACTCGGTGTCTATGGTCTACTAAATAGGCTTGACACAGGTAAATCCACGGGGTTCGGTGAATTACATCCCAGGCTGCTGAAGGAATTATCTTACTTCGTTGCAAGCCCTTTAAGTATATGCTTTAATCTATCCGTAACGCAGAGTCGTTTACCAAAAGACTGCAAGAACGTCATAGTAAGTCCTGTCGTCAAAACAGGTACGAAACATAAACCTGAGAATTACTGACCCGTTAGCCTAACTAGTGTACTTGTTAAAATCTTAGAAAAGATTATTCGGAAGGAGCTGTATAAGTATCTCGATGGAAATCGGATCCTTTTGGAGAAGCAGTACGGTTTCAAGATAGACTATTTATGTCTCACTAACTTATTAGTCGCTCGTGAAAGCTGGTGCGCTCTTAAGGACCAAAAGTTACCTGTAGACGTAGCCTACATAGATTTCAGCAAAGCTTTTGACAAAGTTCCGCACAATCAGCTGTTATATAAGCTAAGAAATGTCGGAATTGGAGGCAATCTATTGATGTGGATAAAATACTTCCTAGTTGGGCACCAGCAAAGAGTACGAGTGAACTCAAAGTCATCTAGCTGGGAAGCCGTGCTTATTGGATTGCCCCAGGGTAGAGCTTTAGGGCCAGTGCTATTCCCCTTGTATATAAATGACCTTCCTCATCTCCTATCAACATCGGCCTTGCTATATGCTGACGATGTCAAGATATGGAGAACGATACGATGTAAAGGTGATAGCTTATAACTCTAAAATGACCTGAAGAAATTTTCTGAATAGTCTCAAACCTGGAAGTTGTCGATAGATACTTCCAAGTGTGTTGTGATGCATATCGGTCATCAAAGTACAGATTCATATACGATGAATAACACTGAGCTATTTGTCGTCCAGACACATAGTGACTTAGGAGTCATCGTTGGCCAAGAATTAAAGATTACTGCACACTGCCGTGCAATAGACACCAAAGGTTTTAGAACCCTATGGTCAATACGTAGGGGTTCTAGTCAAGTCGACGCTAAAACGTTTTTGACTTTGAATACAGACTTTGTACGTCCCAAACTTGAGCACTGCATACAAGCGGCTAACCCTGCTTAAAAAAGGCAGTGAGCTTCTGGAAAAGGTTCAGAGAACAGCAACTAAGCTTAGTCCCGGAATAGTGAAGCTTCCGTATGAAGTTCGACTGGCCAAGCTGAACCTTTTCCCGTTGTCATATCGTAGAACTAGAAGCGACTTGATTACAGTTTTCAAATTGCTTAGTGATAAATTTGCACCTGATATGCCCTCATTTTTCTGGTCTTCCAAAACAGAGAATCTACGAGGACACTCCAAAATACTTCACAAGCGCAGAACAAATTACTTGTCAGGTGACTATCGATTTTCCCCTCGAACCCTCAACAAGTGGAATTCATTACCTCGGCACGTGGTTGAGGCTCCATCCGTCGACGCTTTCAAAAGAAAGTCGGGTCAACCGAGAAACCACTATTACCAGGACTAACACAGGCCATCAAGCGTCCTGTCCTTTCCAAACTGAAACGGAATTGGATATTGAATTGTCCGGGTGTTTTAAGGCCTGGGACTGAAGCGCGTTTGGTTTCGTTTGAGTCCATTTTGGATCCACGTTTGTTCGGCGTTATTAAGTCTTTACTGTTATTGTGTTTGCGCTTGCCGACTTTAACGCTAAAACGTTTTGTTATTCTCTCCCCCAAATCATCAAGGAGGGTTTTTTGGATCTGTTCTTTTCGCGTTTTTCATCCCTCATCAGCAAATCGTGCTCAAGCCTACTGACGATTAGACGTTCCAGAATATTCATTGCCAGCCAAGATTAGCTCTGTGATGTTGAGGTTGCTCGCTGTGTTTGTGTCCACTGTCTTAACTGGCGTGTTTCCGGATGAACATAGTCATGTAGTGAGTTTCTTGGGTCATAAATTCTTGTGTATATTATTACCTTCCTTATCTAAATTCGTAGATCATACTTCAAGACTTCCGTTTTACTGGCCAACGGTCCTGTTGAAGGAAAGAAAAGAAACGTTACTGGTCAGTGTAGGTTTGTTCGACTTAGTCTTGTAAGCGCCCTTCATATATTTATAACCATTCAAGTTACTTTGGCGATCCTGTACGCTAGTGAAGGTCCAGTACTGTCAGTTTTTATGACTAACGGCCTGTATTGAGCCAAGCAGTCATTTTCAGAGTTGGCGAATAAATTGTATTTAAAGAACTAACGCGTCGAACTGTCTTCAGTAATAAGGATAGGAGGACTATCGACCTATATTAATCCTTACAGTTTGTAACACTGTGGAGGTCAAATCTCGTTTTGAATATATTAACAGAAGGTACCTAATGACGAGTTATTTGATTGGGACTGTCCGTTGTAATCTACTAGGTGTTTGTTACCTATCTTGTTTTGAAGGGTTCTGCAATCTTTTTGCTGTGTTCAATCACAATTAAACTGGGGGAAAGTGATACTTTCGCATAACCAGGACACAAACAGACTCGGAACTATTACGTTCTCATTTCTTTGGACGAAAAATATGCAGATATTAGTTAGTATATAGTGATTGTTATTACACCACATTATATATTAAGGTCCCCACCATTCTTTGGGAAAATATTGAAAACACAAAATGGTGGCGCTTAAGTTAACTCAGAATATAGTTCTCCCCTATAATTCCTTGAAAGTTTCCTTATACGTTTCCAAGGTCGGTCGTTTGACGGCATTCTAATACACTGAACAATCGACCACGCCATCACAGCCGTTGTTTTAATGTATACGCTAGTATTCGACAGTACACATTGTTAGCTGTCATTTTTGGACTCTTGGGATGCAGTGATGTATAGAGACTACTGAAGGTTTGCTGTTCACGACTCTATTTCCCTTTTGCCTACATATACCATCAGTAAAGATTTGCTACACAGGGAAAGTGAACCAAGTTTAAAAATATCTCAATAACTTAATCTTTCACTGTGATATCTTGTTGATTGTATATCACTGTTTGCATGCAAAGCAAATATCAGCAAAGCTTGAAATAAATGCTTTTCGACCCAAGATACCATCACACCAACGTATCGATACGCAACGAACAACGGAATAGTCAAAGCAACAGTCATATCATTGATAGCGAACAAGACAAGAATTTTATTATCACGAAACCTGATAAAGGAACAGATACTGTCCATGTGGCCGACTGAACTGTCTGCGTCAATGTAACTGCTTCGTTAGGGTGAAATTACGACTATTATTCCAAAGTCTGAACATTTTTTCCTTTTTTTGTATTTGTTAGTTTTTTTTGCATAAGTAACTTGTTGAAATACCCTGTGCTGAGAATTCTATATTGTACCAAAATATAATACTGAATAAAGCCATTAATTAGTAAATAATAATAATAATAATGAAAATGCGTGTAAGATCATTTGTTGATAGTGAATGACTGACTGTCGTGAATCACCGAGATGTCAGTTGCAGTTGATGGGGGGTAGCTACTTTACAAATGTTCGCTCTTATCATAACTTGACTTTTGCTTGCATTTCCAACCTTAGTTTCCATGCAGTTGAACCAAATGCTAACTAATTTATTTATTTATTTCAACACATACATAATGGTACAAAGAGGCACCAAATACATATGCGCCACACAAATCTCATTCGATATGTGTGAGGGCTGTGATACTGCTCGGGTGCCCAAACCGAGGCAGGTGGTTTTCTTAGGGGGCCACACCCCGAGCCTTCGACCTGAAGGTCTGATCCACAAGGCAGTGGAGCATCGTAAGGAGATGCATTCCCATGGAAGCCGGTGACCAACAATTGGTTCATACGCCATTTGTTCCCACAGGATACTGGAGCCCATGTGCACCATTGGTTTTGAATCCGGTTAAAGCACCGGACATTCGCTTTTCGTCCTCTCATTTTCGTAAACAACACCCCCGCCACGAGAAGGCAGTGAGTAGGACTTCCCTGGCAGAGGCTATATACGCGTGGCCGTGTGAGAGCATTTCGAGAGGGAGAGCGGACTCTCCCCACTCTCGGCCGTACCAGGGCATTTGGGGGCAAATGTTAACTAAACCGTCTTCTTACTAAGGAATTTATCACAATTCAGACATGCCAAAGTATGTGTTGGATTTTATTAATTGCTGCATTTTTGATGAGTCATTCTAATTGTATGACTTCATTTTTAGTATGATGTTGCAGAAGAAGTGGTTCTATGGATGAACACTATTGGACCATATCATAATCGTCAAGAAACTTACGGATACTTTACCTTGCCTTTTTGCCGTGGACCTAAAATTTCAATTGAACATACCCATGAAACTTTGGGTGAAGCTTTACAGGGGACAGAACTTCAATATAGCGGGATAGATATTCGATTTAAAAGTGGGTATATTTTTTTATAAACTCTTCTGAATTAGTTAACAAACCTAAATCAACGATGTGTGAAGTTGATGTCAATTCAGATGCTTACATAGCTTTTAGTAAAGCTGTTGAGCAACAATATTGGTATCAAATGTATTTGGATGATCTACCGATTTGGGCTGTTGTTGGGGAGGTAAGCAAAGACGGTCATCCTAGTATTTGGACTCATAAAGAACTGGAAATCGGATATAATGAGAATCAAATAGTTTTTGTCAATTTAATCAACGGTGACTTGACTCCTTTAAAACTGAACACCAAAATTACATTCTCGTATAAGGTAAGCTGTCTACTATTCCGTCTCAAACTTCTAAATATTACAAACTTCGGTATATTTACTTACAATTTAAAGTCTACGGTATTTAATAGAGTGAAACTTTATGACGTTGCACATTGTTTTTATTCCTGTCTGTCAACCGTCGTCCTATTAGTTGGTTATCTTCGAATATACAATATAAATCAAGGTAATTCAAATTACTATCAAGTACACCTTCGTATAAAATAAGTTAGAACGTTTATTTGTCTTCATGTCCACTCTTATTAAGGTTACGAACATTATTTAATTAAGTAACATTTAGCTAATAGTAGTATTTGATCAAATAATATTCGTAACCTTCCTAATACTATTCAAGTGGATCCATTAACAAACAAGATTGGAGGTAACATCTGTTCCAAAGAAGTTGCTGTTCTTGGAGCTATAGTTCTAAATTGGTGTTACCGGTAAAGTAATAACATAAAGGTTAGGAAAAGTTGTTCAGAAAAGATTTATTATTCTCAATCGTCACGCAATGAGAATCGCCAATAACGATAAACTGTCTGAATTCGCTAAATTCATGTGTGTTTATGAATTAAACTGCTCCTGCTGAGCTAGTTATATAATCGTTTTGGTTAACCAAAAGACATTTAAGAGCATTTAGGTGTTTTATTCTCGCATGCTTAGTGGACACAGTTCACCACATTGACCCGAATAAAGCTTTTACGGTCATCCACCATATTCCATCAGATTCACCGCATGGTTTGCGGACTCATCTTTTGTATATTGCTGATGCTATAGAAATTCACATTTAAAGACCCGACCTTCGTACTAAAAAGTATGTACAATTCCTCTCTCTATCTTGATTATCAATATGAAAGTGAGTTTTAGCTGAATTTCGATTCACTCCATTCATTCATGATAAGTCTGCTAATTGAACGCTAGGTCTAATTTCCTAGCTGTTTCCAATTTTTTCTGGTTGAATTCACTTGGCAAATTAAGCACAATAGAAAGCAGCGAAGTGCAAACCAAAGACTGGTGATAAGGATTTATTTGACTGCCAAAATAAATCAATGATTTATTGATTCACCACTTTTTATGTGATTCATTTAATTACATTTAAAGTCAGATTTGTCTTAAGTGAGCTAGATTGTATTTAAAAATGATAATTCAGTAAGTTACTGTGTGAACACATATTTACCATGTTACGCAATTAAGCATCTACAATCCTGCTTGAGATGTAATTATATTTCACGTATGATTGGAAAAAAATCAATTTCATATATCATTCGCGCTCCAGCTGATTTTTCGCCACTTCTAAAAAATAGAAAATTTTATAATCTCTCACATTTGTGTTCTCACATATTATTGATATCTGTTCGTTGATAATCGACTTTTTCAAAATACTTTGTTAATTGTTATTAAATATTATGTAATCTAGCGACCGTTCAATTTGATTTTTTCGATTCACGCAAACCATTGCATTATCAGAATTCTTTCAATTACTCAGTTAATCATTCAATATTTTTGTAATCACATTAAGATTATACAATTATGTGACATGACTACTCGACTAGTATTTTATATATATATATATATATATATATATATATATATCATAAAGCCATGATGAGACATTAATAAAAAAGGAATTTCTTCGATCTATTCGTCTTTTTATTAATTATCTAAATTGGGATTTGCACTATACTAAAGTATTTGTGTTCAGGCTTTTGTTAGGGAAACAAACCAAATATCATCTATAATATGATGATAAGCAATGGCTATGAGAAGCAATGGATCGAGCAGTGTAGCCACCCTACCCTTTCACTTTTGCGTGAGCATCAGCTAACTGTTATACGTCACAACATAGCTTCGTTCATATCAATTCATATAGATATTTATAGACGTGCGCTCGACTTAGAGGACAGATATTTAACAGGAGAAATATAAAGGAAACTAAAGAGTATTTTCAAAGCCGAACACCCCAATCATACATCAGTCGACCCAGTCTATCAGCTATTAAGAAAAGGGCTAAATAACTCTAAAATAAAAGATCAGAATGGAGGAAAAGTCAGTCAGTCAGTCAGCTACAACGTAGGACCAGGCACGTATGTGCATCGGTCCAGGTTGCCATACCGCATCAGCACAACAAGATGAACACCGGATTCACAGCAGTGGTTAGGTCAAAGGTGGTAATATATAAGAAAAAGATTGCATATAGAGATATAGTACAAGAAGAAAGAATTGGTTCGTAGAAAGAAAGATATGAAGCGATTTTAATCTCTTAGTTTAAGGGAAGACAGGGAGTGTATACACCGACGCCCTTGTGATCGATTCTGAGCCATGTCACCAAGAGTCTCCGACCATTGGTTACGATAGTCACGCGGACCTCAACCAAGTAGTCTGCATCTACCAACATGGCTCAGACTACAAGTTAGTGACTTTAAGCACTGATGCCACGTTTTGGTTTGGCCGCCCCTAACTTTCTTCCAACCATCTCCAATACCGGATAGCATTGCACGTCGTGGTAATCGGTGTTCAGGCATACGTAACACGTGGCCCAACCATCTCAGTCCATGTAGATTCACAGCCTCATCAACTGACTTACCATCATTCCCTAATACCCTGCGTCTAACCTCACTATTACTTACCCGGTGATCCCAGCAGATGCCAGCAATATTTCTGAGGCATCTGTGGTCAAATACTAATAGCTTACAAGTGTCTTCTACTCTTAATGGCCATGTTTCGCTACCGTAAAGTAAAACAGAACGGACTGCCGCGCAGTATACCCGTCCTTTTATTGATAGACGGATATCTCGCCTTCGCCAAAGGTGACGCAAGTTGGCAAAAGCCAATCGAGCTTTTCGAATCCGTGCTGAGATTTCGTCCGATACCAACCCATTAGGGCTGATCAAACTTCCAAGATAAGTGAAGTTGTCAGCGTGTTCGACTACTTCACTCCCTATTCTTAGTTCAGGTGTTGACGCAGACCAGTTCTGAAGCAACAACTTGCATTTCGAGGGAGAGAAGCGCATTCCAAACATTCTGGCATTGTTGCTCAGTGCTACCAGAAGACTCTGCATTTTGTCAGCGTCTTCACCAAACAGGACTATGTCATCTGCGTATTCTAAGTCGATAAGTGGACCTCCTGGTAGGAGATCAATACCCGAGAACTCAGTCGACGAGAAAGTTATTTCCATCAGTAGATCTATGATGAAGTTAAACAAAAATGGGGAAAGTGGACAGCCTTGACGGACACCACTTGAGGTTGCAAAAGTAGATGACAGTTCACCATAAGCTCTAACTCGACTAGTAGTGTTCGAGTAAAGAGCCTTCACAAGGTTTATGTACTTCTGAGGTACGCCTTTCAATGACAGACACTGCCACAGAATCTCGCGGTCTACCGAGTCAAATGCTGCTTTTAAGTCGAGAAAGACCACCATTGTCGGACGTCGATAAGTATGCCTGTGTTCTAGAATCTGACGAATGGTGAATATGTGGTCGGTGCAGCCACGGCCAGGTCTGAAGCCAGCTTGAGTCTCTCGTGTTTGCAGTTCACGAGTCTTAGTTAGGCGTCTGATAATTATCGAAGCTAGTATTTTAGATATTATATTAGTTAAAATAATCCCTCTGTGGTTGTCACAGGATGATTTTGACCCTTTCTTATATACTGAGACGATAAGTGATTGTGACCAGTTAGATGGGATAACGTCTAACTCCCAGATCCTAGCTAAAATATTAGTCAACCTAATCGCTAAAATTGGACGACCATCCTTAAAGACCTCTGGAGCCAATCCATCTGAACCAGCTGCCCTTGTTTCAGATTAACTATAGCCTTTTGAACTTCAGCAAGAGTTGGGGGACCTACTTCAATGTTCCATTCACACTGTCTGGGAATGGAGAGTAGTTGTAGAGTAGCTGAAGGCCAGCTGAAATGTTCCGCCCATCGTTCTAAACGCCTGGACTGGGAGCAGATGAGAGTATCGTCGTTTTCCGATATAATCTCATTTACACTTGACTTCTTAATTCCAGTTTCTTTTATTAGTCTTTACAGCTGTCTTGTGTTCCCTATAGTCGCCGTTTTTTCCATCTCTTTTGCTTTCATTGCCCACCACTGCTCACGGTCGTTTCTTAGATTTTTTCTTAACCTAGATCTGATTTGTTGTCGCTCTTCATCATGTTCGGAACCTGATGAGACGAGTTTGCGAGAATCCATCAGTGTGATAGACTTTGAAGAAATCCATTGGTTCTTTGTAACCCTTTGGTTTAAATCACTGATAGATGTCACTGCTGTTTCCACAGCTGTTTGTATGGCTTTCCAAGCAACAACCTCGTTTTCAGAACTAGCTAATCGTGACCTCAGTTGTTCCTGGAACCTACTTTTGGTTTCCTCGCTACTCAGTTCGGTTCTAATGGGTCCCTTTACTGTGGCTTTTTTGCGTCCAGTGAGGCGCAAGCAGATGCGTGCCCGTATTAGGGCGTGGTCGGAGTCCAAGTAGGTACTCCAGAATGAGCGACAATCTTCTACCGACCCTCTCCAACGATGACTGATGGCAATATGGTCTATTTGAGTCCATCGTTGGTTTAGTGTAGGGGGTCGCCATGTTAGACGATGTCTCTTCTTATGCTTAAAATTTGTGTCTGCTAAAAATAAGCGATTGTCTGAGCACAGTTGCAGCAGACGGTCACCATTATCTGTTCGCTGTGCTGGAATGCTAAAATATCCACCTAAATGCCTTTCTGTTTGGTTTAAGCTACCTATCTGAGTATTAAAGTCACCCCCTATGAGTACTATGTCTGAGCGTTTAGCTTTCTGAAGAAGTTCAGAAAGCTTTCTGTAAAATTCATCTTTCACATCATCTGAGCTGCAGTCAGTGGGAGCGTAGGCAGAAACGACGAAAAGGCAACGACGTGTATCCCTATCCTTCCGAGTTCTTACGGAACCTTTTAACCGAACAGCACATAGACGACTGTTGACGGGGATCCACTCTAGCAGTGCTTGTTCCGCCCTCATGCTTAGTGCTATGCCTACACCTGCCAGTCCACGAGAACTGGCCATCGGGTCACCAGATACACGGAGGGTGTATCTCGTTGGCTCTACGTTTTGCCGAGGTGAGGTCAAGTGAATGACCACACTGGAATCCTGTATGCGTGTTTCGGAGAGACAGCATACATCAATGGAAAGGGACTCTAGGGTTTTAGCCAAGGAAGCCTGCTGACCGATTTGACATAGAGTGCGTACGTTGAAGGCTCCAATGTGTAGTTTGGAGCGAGGTTTCAGTAGACCTGGGACAGTGTTTTGCGCAATAGAATCTTTGGCTATGGTGACACTTGAGGAGGAAGCCGAAAGGGAAAGTTTAGAGTGGAAAGTCGATGTAGGAGGAATAAAAGGAATTGAAGAGGAAGGTTGATTATGAATACAGTGGTCTTGAGTGCTGTTAGAGGTATGAGGGCGGTTATCGCTTCCCGGTTGCCCACACCGAGGAAGGGTTCTTCTGGAGGTAACTGAAAAGGAAATTGGATTAGAGGTGGTCTCAGTGACCTGAGAGCGTGACCGCAGTGCCCAAGGGACAACTGCTTGAGGCCGGTCGCGCACGGCCTTTTCGTGGGAGGTTTTTGACGTGTTAGCTCCGTTCTTCAAAGGGCCTTACCGCCGGAGACGGAAATCCGTGAGGTAAGGTGAGGTGCGCATTTTTAGGGTCGACCTTTTCTAACCCCACCCCTCCTTGTGGGAAGGCAGCATCGCTGTCATGCTGGTTGTCTGGAGGAAACACCTTACTGCTGTCACACCTCTGTACAGTCAGCAGTATGACTTCGCCTTCGGACCTTGGGTTTGTTGCTTTTAGTCTTACCGCTCTTCAACCGACCTGTCTGACATGGTAGAACCTTGAGGAACGGTTGTTCCAGCCAGTATAGCTCGATTGCTTCATCACGATAGGCAAGCCCGACCACCACGTCAAGGTAGCAACAACGGTCAGGATGGAGGAAAAGGCAATCAAAATAAATGTCTTAACAATAATCGTCCATATTACATAAATATCTCCAAGTAGATAAGTAATCTCGTAACTGAACGGTGCATTAAAAATGTTTGACATCTCTGAAATAAACGTTCACTGGTTCAATTTTGATTTTCCTATGGTTATATGAATATATGACATGATATTTAAGTATTAGTAAATAACTGTGAATCTGTTGGTTGATTTTCGGTGCTGACGTATAAGTTATTTAATCAAATTCAATGTTTTTCCTACATTCAAAAAAGGTTAGATGGGTTCCATCAGAGATAGACTTTGCTGATCGATTTGATAAGTATTTGGATTACGAATTCTTTGGACACAAGGTAAGAAGGTATTAGATTACTCTTTATGATGAAGTATTGGTATTTTAACCTAAGGTAGATCTGTGTAAACTTGGTCGATACTATTATCATTATTTAGTGGCTGAGAAATTGATATTACACAAATTTATGTGTACAAGTTAATAAATTAGTTTGCTTATAAACATTCCACACATATTTTCTATTAGGCTGGATAATAAAATGTAGTTTTAAATACCTTTGTCGCATATCCGTAGTCATTATTTAATCACCCATTGTAATTACACCAGTAAATCGAATCCCTCAGTTTGAGGCTGAAAATTTCTCTTTCTCTAACAAGCTATGAAATAATTTGAGACCCACTATCGTTTCTAATTACAGTGGGATTGTTAACTAATTCCTCACTGAATATGCATACAGTCAAAAAAGATAGTTATGAAGCCATCTACGGTGTTAAAAGACTCCAGCGACTGGTATATTCGTTAGCGTTTCATGACAGAAATGTTACCGTTTTTTGAGCGGTTTGTTCGTTTAGCAAAGGAGCTTTCCTATTTAGTTGACACAGTTTATTTATAGCAGAGTTTATGCTCACTGTTAGTCTGTTTCGTATGTTTATTCGAAGAAATTAATGAGTATAAAACTGACTATCACTTAACTTGATTCATTTTTTTATCCATTAGTTTTGTCTAAAAGGTAGCAGTGTGAATAATCTGTAAAGAAGGATTATTCGTATTCGCTTGTTGCTTCCATGACCTTTTGCGCGTCTTTCTACCCTTTCAACAAGTACTTACTATTTCATATGATTGGACAGCTTCTTTAAGTTTATGGGATTGCTCATACAACTGTATACTGACCCAACTAAATTCATCGTCCTGTTAATAAGTCGTTCAGTAGATTTCCCTAGTTAAAATCATGAGGCCACATTCTATCAATTTAATCCCGCTTGCATTTCGTAGCGAGTTACAGTAGTAATAGGTTTGGTTTGTTGTGATTTCGATAATCTTGTATCTTCCTGACAGATATTGTTCTTTGAGCGATGCATACCGCTTGACTTCATTATAGTTAATACTTAACCATTTTACCTATTAAACTGCCAACAATAGTTTAATATTTCGTTTACAAACGCATTATTGACTGTAATCCCCAAAAGAAAAACACTGGGTTATACATTTTTCTTATTTGTCAGACCTGTAATGTTTATTCGCATTTTACTGTAATGCTAATAATAGTTTTCAGTATGGGGTTGTAAAGATTGTTGAACTTTTTTAAAATCACGAACCAATGTAAGTTAGACCATCACTGAAAAAGTAGAAGCACATCCCAATAACTCTCTTATCATCACGACTAATCATTCTTATGTCCCTTTATCATCTCGCACCGCTAGTGCAAACGATTCGAGTACATGGAACGTTATTCCCGGTCTCCTGAAACCACTCTCTAAAATACATGTAGGAGCTTTGAACATCCGAACACTGGGCCAAATAGGACAACAGGCTTCCTTAGCTAGGACTTTGGAATCTCGCGCCATCGATGTGTGCTACATCTCCGAAACGCGCATACAGGATCCGAGTAGCGCCATTCATTTGACCTCACTATATCAAAATAAAGAACCAACTCGATTCACGCTTCGTGTATCTGGAAGCCCAGATGCTGCTTTCCGTAGCCTCGCCAATGTAGGTATAGCATTGAGTCCTAAGGTAGAACTTGCTCTCCTAGACTGGATCTCAGTAGACAGTCGTTTGTGCGCTGTCCGACTAAATGGAACAGCAAGGACTCGGAAAGATAGGGACACAGGTTGTTGCCTCTTCGTCGTCTCTGCCTACTCTCCTGCTGACTGCAGCTCACATGATGTGAAAGACGAATATTACAGAAAGCTTTCCGACCTTCACCGAAAAGCTAGGCGCTCTGATATAGTAATAATGGCTGGTGACTTTAATGCTCAAGTAGATAAACTAAGCGAAAAGGAAGGATACTTGGGCGGATCTTATGGTGTCGTGGCGATCGTCTGTTCCAGCTATGCTCAGATAACTGTCTGTTTCTAGCAAATACTAACTTTACGCATAAAGAAAAAACATCTTGTGACATGGCGATCCGTGGAATCTTCCCAACGTTGGACCAAATAGATCACATCGCTATCAGCCACCGATGGAGGGGCTCGATAGAAGACTGTCACTCATCCTGGAGCACATGCTTAGATTCAGATCATGCCCTAGCGCGAGTGCGTATTTGTCTGCACCTTACTGGACGTAGAAAAGACTCTGCAAGGAAACCTCTTAGGGTTCTACTTAATGATAGCCAAGCTAAGAATATTTTTCAGGAACAACTAGAAAACCAGTTAGACAGCCACGTAAGTGATGCCCACCCCGAGGCAGCGTGGAATGATATCCGAAAAGCTGTGAAAACAACAGTGACATCTGCTAGTAAGGTCAACCATAAGGTTAGCGAGAAACACTGGATCGCAGCAGCATCTACCGCACTGACAGATGCTCGAAAACTCATGCCATCTGGCTCTGAACATAACGAAGAGCGGAGTCAGCTTAAGCGCAGGCTGATAAGTAGCCTAAGCAATGATCGCGAACAGTGGTAGGTAGCGAAAGCAAGAGAGATGGAAAAGGCAGCGGCAGACAACTGTTCAGACTTGAAAAGAAAACCGGTATTATGAATCCAACTGCTAGTGAAACTATCTCCGAAAACGATGGACATATTGTTCACTCTCAATCCATGAGATTGGATCGATGTGCAGAACACTTTAGGGATCAGTTCAACAGGCCTTCAATCACACTTTCGTATCCCACGATCTCCAGTCGACCTGAATGGCAAGTTGATGTAAGTCCTTCAACTCTTTACAAAGTTGAAAAAGCTATAGGAAATCTGAAGTGTGGGAGAGCAGCAGGCCCTGACAGGTTTGCCCCTGAGATTTTCAAGGATAGCGGTCCAGTATTAGCAGCGAGATTGAACGAGGTCTTAGATAGAATCTGGGGACTGGACGTAATCCCATCTGACTGCTCTCAATCTCTGATTGTGCCAGTCCATGAGAAAGGACAAAAGTCCCCTTATGATAATCACAGAGGAATCAGTTTGACTAGTATAGTGTCTAAAATATTAGCTTCAATAATACTTTGACGCCTAACTAAAGCTTGTGAAGAGCAGACTAGAGAAAACTAGGCTGGTTTTCGACCTGGACGTGGTCGTATAGATCAGATATTCACACTACGTCAGGTCCTAGAACATAGACACACATTCATACGTCCCACAATCGTAGTATTTCTCGATGTTAAGGTGGCATTTGACTCTGCTGATCGTGAGGTTCTATGTCAGTGTTTTTCACTGAAAGGAGTACCAAAGAAGTACATTAACCTTATAATGGCTCTCTACTTGAACACAACTGGTCGAGTGAGAGCTTATGGCGAACTGTCATCATAATTGATTACCTCAAGTAAGTGATGTTCGTCAGGGTTGTCTACTCTCTCCATTCTTGTTTAACTTTATCGTTGACGTGCTTTTAGAGATAACACTTTCCTCATTTAAATTTCCAGAGGTTGAACTTTTACCGGGAGATTCACTTGTTGACTTAGAATATGCCGATGACATAGTTCTATTTAGTGAAGACGCTGACAAAATGCAGAGTCCTCAAGACAAAGGAAGAGATCACAATGGATGTCGTCCGATGTTACCCACCTACCAACGATAGCAGTGGAGAAGATTAAAATTAATTTGATAGGGGGGTTTCAGTCCATAGTAAACAAATGTTCAGGAAAACACCTGACCATCCTGATGGGGAACTTAATCTTCGAGGTTGGTATGTACAATACCGGGTATAAAAATATCATGGGATGACATGGACTGGGAGAAAAGGTGGGAATGGTGCAAGAATGATAAATCTACATGTTTTAAACAAATTGGCTATATGTGGTAGCATTTTTACTCACAAAAGTTATATGGGTTTCCACCGACTACGCTATAGAAAACCAGATCGATCGCATCTGCATCAGCAGGCAATTCAGAAAATCTGTGTGAAACATAAGGACAAAGAGAGGAACTAACACAACTGCAGACCACCACCTGATCGTGACAATACAAAAACTAAGGCTAGAGAAGAACCGGAAAAGTAGACGAACAGAACTACAAAATTTCGACGCAACCTTCATTTGAAATGTTGACAAACTCAGCGACTTCAATATAGCTCTCAAAATTAAGTTCTAAACATATAGAGAACCTTATACATACAGATACCTAGGTAAATCTAAACAGAGAAAAAACAACAAAAACGAAAATAATTCTTTCTATTTCACGGTTTCTCATCAACTGCGTACAACCTAGAATTATAATTACCTACATTATTAACAAATGTTAAACAAACTTTAGTTTTTGAAGTTTATATAAATGTTCGAAACGTTACTAAAATCATAATGATAAAAAGAACACGGATACGAAAAACTGGAGGATATGCCACGAAGAAGCCAATAAATTGTATCAACAATTAGTTTTCACTTTGAATTTACAATATCCAAAAACAACCTTTGCGACTGTATTACCGCTGATAACCTGTCAAGAACAAGCATTGCCAGTGGCGTATACAGGTTACAGCAGCTACTTAGACATCCATTACTTGCTCTGAACAAACGTATGTATATATGTATTTCTATCATGTTTAAGTTACATGGAACCAGAGAACAACAAACACGAATGAGAGCTTCGTGTACAAAAGAACTCCCGTCGCTCGCACTTAAACCATCGCTCTGTGGAGCCGAAGTCACATACCTAGACAATAGACCATATTCACCAAGAAGCAACCTACTAGTCATATTCTCAAAAAAAATAATTGATTTTGACGGTCGACTTACTTTGACTCGTTTATTTTGGAAAATATTGGTCGAGTGCTGGGGACAGCTCGTTGCTATCACATCGCAATAGATTTGAAATATGACCTTAGATATATTACCTTTGATTTTACCGTTCTTTATTAGACCTCCCCATCATAAAAGGGCATCGAAGAAAAAGTATTCGAGCTAATATGGTTCAAATGAGTCATCGCAATAGACCACCTTAATCACGCAGACCTTAACTAGTTAGTATGCACCTAACTACACAGCTCATTCCTTTAGTCGCGGTTGTCATGGTCTGATCCTATTTTCTGGCTTAGTCACCGTTAGCTTTTTCTAGCCTACTTCTATACCAATCATCATCTTGCGTCAAGGTAGTCGGTGAATGGTTGTAAATATTTTGTATCCTACCCATCCCAGTCGAGAAAGATCCACTACCTCATCAACGGGTTCGCCATCCTTACCTAATACTGTGTCAAACTTCAGAATTGCTAACCCGATGGTCCCAAAATACATGAGCAGTTGTTCAGGGACACCTATTGTCGAGTACTAGTAACCTATAAATATCACATTTCACAGCCAGGAATTCGAACAAAGTGAACTGCTACCCTGTTAACTCGTTATCTGGTTGGTAGATGAATATCTCACCTACACCATAAGTGACGCAAGTTGGAAAAATCCAAACTGACCTCTATTTGTACTGAGATTTCATCAGATACCACCCTACCAGAGCTGATGAGAAATCTGTCAGCATTTTGAAGGTTCTATGTACAAATACATCAGGTAGAACGAGGATATACAACCACCTTTCCTAACACTTATTCGGTAGTGGAAAGGCAGCATTACTAGAAAAGCTGGTTGACTGAATGAAACACTTTACTACACTACAGCCTAGTACAATCGGCGATACAGCTTAGTTCATGAACTTAATGTTTTCTGCTTCTGATAATACCACCCTCAAAATGACTTTCTTGGTATGGTTTAGCATCAAGCAACAAACATTCTAGCCCATATAGCCTGTATCCACGTAACAAACGTAAATTTCTACATATATAAATTATATTCAATTAGCTCAATGATCGGAAATCTTGGTAGTTGGAACTGTGGTGTGAGCTACTTATATTCATATAAGTAGTATATAACGTGCGTTAAATAAACGTAAGGTCCGGCAGCAGAAGATGGCGAAGATCAAGAAAGGAAGAGCAAGGGCACAATGCAATTGTAAGAAAACGCATGTACAATGGAATGGGAGACAATGGATTAGTGTTTGCAACGGGAACAGTACAGTTTCATATGATGGAATGATATTTTGCAAATTGACGATTGACTTTATGGTATTCACATTTTATTGAGACAGTCTGTAATTTTTGTGCTAAATACAATCGATTGTCCCCACCCGTGTTCTTGTTCACTACAGAACCTGCTGTCGACTTCGAAACATCTGCATCTAGTAACTTCTGGAATAAAAACCAATGGTGACCGCGCTGTAACTTTATTTCACTTTACTTCATGAATGAAATTTATTTGCTTAAGAGAATTGTTGTACTTTTTCAACCGAACTATTTCTCCCACTGTATATTAAGCTCATGCACTTATTTTTTTCATTTAATTATTTTTTAAGTATATTCACCCTTTTCATATCTCTTCATAACTTCATCCATTTATTTGTGTGGTGTATATTTATTTTGATATCCATTTGTGCCAATATTTATACCTTCAAATAGATAACCCTCCAAATACCCAGTGTTTCAAAGCAATGTGAATGGGAAATTCACACAAGTTTCCTAAATTTTATTTAAGTTGTAAAGGTCGTATTTTTCTTGTCCGAAATCTCAATCCCGAATGACATATAAGCAGTGTCTCAATCGAGCACGTTAACCAGCCAAATATAAATATTTATACGTCTCTTCTAATCAGTAAAGCAAACGAACAAGTTAAATAATTTCGGTTTCCGGAGTTGTGATGGCATCTTATTGTCGTCTCAGGTGTGTATGTTTGCCAACAGTTTCGAAAGTGGAACGAGGGAGTCTAAACTTTTTTTCGATATACGTCTGTATGTTGTTCGTCTTAATGGAACTAATATTTTCCCATAGAGATATTCCAAGCACTATTTTTACGTGTAGTGCTATGGTCAGGCGAAGAGTTCTAAGCATTTATTCAACGTAATATTTTACCTTTTTAATATCACAAGGAGTTCGTTTCATCGTTAATATACTTCATAAATTAGAAGGCCGATTCGTAAGTTCACATTGTCTGTTAGATAGACACAATTAGTAATTACATTTTTATTCGCGATTACTTTTTCTTAATTATTCAAACCGATTCATTATCTCGTGTAAATTCTAGATTAGTCACTTCCAAAAGTTTACTGCTTTGATCGATATTTTTGTTGTTCTTTGTTCGTGTTCTTGTCATAGATTCATTGGTTTTCAATCTTTAATTCATTTATGATGGTATTGTTCCTTGTCGCATTGGTCTGCATGATTTTAATGCGAACATTACGGCGTGATTATGCAAGATATAATAAAGAAGATGGTCTAAGCGATTTGGTAAGTCTCCCAGTACTTTTATGCTTAGTGTAATTGTAGCAAAACAATTGGAATACTGTTGTTTATCCTCTCAATTTTACATTACACAGAGCTCACAGGTCTTGTTGTAAGGCTTTTTGGTTTCTGACTTTTCCAAATAAGGGGTTCGTTTTGCTTCTAGTACTTACACGTTCGTTTGTGTAGTTTTATGTGTATCTGGGACCTTACATTAAGAGTATTAGTTCATTCGAAGATTTACTACGGATAGTCAGGGTTAAAGAACTGTCAGTTTTTTAATCCGTATCTGAATTTTTTTCAATGTATATCGATTAGTGTCAAGTACAGTTTCATCCATTTTTCTGACAACTATATGTGTATTTTGAGGCTTCGTTATCTTCTGTTGGGTTCATATTTGTATCTTATCAATTGAAAGTCGATGGCAGTTTGATATTCCTCATAAGTACCTACATTCGACTAATTAAACGACTAAACCGAGAATCCAGTTTCCATTGAGATTTGACAGTCGTCTTGCAGATTCGCCAATAACATAGGAAGTTAGATTCTCTTTTCACAGTAGCCGAATAGTTCGATCATTCAGTTTGCTTGGTATCTTGTTACATGAACTTGAGTCTTGAACAAAAAATAGTATTTCAGTGGCCCGGGATCTGACTCCAGGTTAATTGGACATTTATTTATATTTTATTTATTTTAAAACATAGATATTGGTACAAGGAGGCACCAAATACATATGCGCCACACAAATCTCATTTGATATGTGTGAGGGCTGTGATACTGCCCGGTCCTAAACGGAAGCAGGTGGTTTTCTTAGGAGGCCACACCCGAGCCTTCGACCTGAAGGTCTGATCCACAAGGCAGTGGAGCATCGTAAAGAGATGCATTCCCATGGTAGCCGGTGACCAACGATTGGTTCATACTCCACTTGTTCCTTCAGGATACTGGAGCCCATGTGCACCATTGGTTTGGGATCAGGGTTTTCCAACTCCCCCAGGTGGACTCTCTATGTTCACCAACCCGGTTAACGCCCCGGACATTCGCTTTTCGTCCTCTCGATTTCGTAAACAACACCCGCGCCACGAGAAGGCAGTGAGTAGGACTTCCCTGGCAGAGGCTATACACGCTTGTCCATGTGAGAGCATTTCGAGAGGGAGAGCGGACTCTCCCCACTCTCGGCCGTACCAGGGCATTTGGGGGCTAGATCTGGCAAGTGATCATTATTGAATGATTGCTGTCGAAATATACATCATGGTTATTCTCGTTTATTGTTATTGATTTACTCCGCGTTAGTGTATAACGGAATTAAAATAAGCCGAGTACGAGAATGGATTTTTGAATGCGTGTATTTTGTACACTTGTTGATTTAAACAGATAATTAGAGGAGTGACGCGAAAAGAAGAGAGCGAAGCGAAATGACGCGCAGTGGAGATGGCGTGCGAGCCAACTCGATTTAATCAAGCGTTAATCAATATTTATAGTCACACAAAAATAAGCTACAAACATGTGATGAATATGATAAGACATACACACACACAAGCTCATATAAAAACAGTCAGTGTTGATAAGTGAATAACTAACAAGGTCAAGACGTGGCTCAAGAAGAATGAATAGACCGGCCTGTCCAGAAGCTAGAGTAAAATGTGTGGGCTTAACATATCAACGGACACTGCAGCACGGATACACATAGACAACTATGCGTCCATGTTTCAAGCTCCAGTAAATCAGTTATTTATCTGAGAGGCGAATTACTTCCGGTTTTACTCGTTGCATTGACCTAAATGATCGTATGTAAGAAAAAATTAGTAAGGTTAGAGAAAACGTTTAATGATAAATAGAAGTGAGTTGAATGTGTAGGTCCATTAATGGTTTTATAGTTATATTTTACCAACATTCAGAGAGTAATACTGATAACTTAAACATGTACACAGAGTCATGTTGATATGTCATTTGATCGTTCGTTTAATTCTTTTATCAGTTTGTTCAGTTCTTGGTTTTTAATTAACCATTTGATTATCTCCGAATATGGACTTTCTCAAGTCTATTTGAGCATAGTTCTAGATTGGGAAGTCATAGTGATTGCGTTTCATTCACCACTAAGGGATGTTTGACTAATGCTAATACTCGATTCAGTTATCTTTATCTATTAATACATAACTTTATAAATATGACGTTATGTATCATCAATAGTCTTTCAGCGAACCAATACTATTTAACTAGTTTAACTTTTTTGAGTTTTCTCGATGATTGAATATCCGTTACCAAGTTATCCGTTTTTAGGACATAAGCGTCTCTTTTTTCACATTATGGAGGAGAAAAATGTAGGGAAATTCAATGATGACTTTTATTTTTCATAAGATACATATATTTATAAAGACGGTTAAAAATAAGTAGCCGAATTTCTTGCTATTTTTTTCAGGATCGTGAACTAGGCGATGAATACGGTTGGAAACAGGTGCATGGAGATGTTTTCCGCTCACCGCCTCATTCATCTTTATTAGCTAGTTTAGTTGGAACAGGGATTCATATTGCCGTGGTCTCATCCATAGTATTATTTTTGGCACTAACTAATAAATTATACACCGAACGTGGAAGTTTCATTTCTACTGCCATATTTGTTTTCGCTTCTACTTCACCGGTAAATGGATTGGTTGGTGGCAGTCTATATGCACGCATGTCTGGTAAGTCACTTGTTTGTATTATCTTTGTATGTTATCATCGCCAATCGTTTTCGTTCTCTAGTGGTAGTATCGTAAATCCTAAGTGAATTAGTGAAACTTCGATTAGATGGTTTTTAGTGTTTCTTTTTCACTGGCTTTGAGTCAATTGGGTGGAATGCTATAATGACTGAACACTCAAGACTGACTTTGTATAAAGAATCCCCAATGTGATAAACCTTTTAAATGTTTTATATCCTATGAATATAACAAACAGAGAAAGAATACGGGATTTAACGTAACTGGTGACTAGAAAAGTTTTATGTAATATAATAAAATTTAATGCCCGTTTCCTTGATACATCTGAAAAGTTTATTGTCCTCGCTTCTAGCTGCTACCGTGATTTCGTGATTGGGCTTGGATACCATGATAACCCTTTCGAGATATATTGGCCGGAACACTTTTTTTTCGCTCTACTATGCCAGGCAGGTCGTTTAGAAAACGGCAAGATTAAGAGCAGCAAGCTCATGGTTTGTGAGCAAAGTCTTACTGCCAACTATGTACGGGTATAAGTGTTTCCCTGAAACGACCGGCATCTACAGTGTTTCTGCAGCCTAACAACGGAAGGAAGGAGTTATTTATTTTATTTATTTGAACACATAAATATTGGTACAAAGGGGCACCAGGTACATGTGCGCCACACAAAAATAATGAGAATATGGAGAGATAAAGAATGTAAGGTGCGTATAAGAAAAAAGGGAACATCAAAGAACAGAAATTAGTGTATGATAGTGAAATAATAATGATGGAAGAAGCAGTTCAGTTAGCAAAGGTACAGCAAGAAAGAATTCCTCCAGCAACAGAAGTTACGTCCTTTTTTATGAAGAAAGTAAAATAATGTTACAACATTACCGCCACTGGCTTCTATTCTGAGCCATATCTGATAACTTCTCTAGCTACTGTGTTAAACCATCTCTAGGACCCCAACAAGGGAGTTGTGAAGGACCGACTAAAGCCAGTCCTGTACAGCTCTGTTTCATACCACGACACCATGTCATACACAGACCACCTCTCCGCTTTTTCCAACCAGTCACAGCGTCGGCAAGTAATGCACGACCTGGAATTCTCTGGGACGACATTCGGAGAACATGTCCATGCCACCGAAGTCGGTGTTTCAAGATAGTGACACCAATTGAATTATCGTCGCTGTGCTTGAACACACGATGCCGAACCTCTGCATTACTAACATGGTGTTGCCATTGGATGTTGGCAATCCTTCGGAGACAACGATGATCAAACACAGAGAGTCGTCTAACATCCTCAACTCGGAGAGGCCAGGTTTCACAAGCATAGAGCAAAACTGCTCTCACCGACGCGCTGTAGATCCGACCTTTTACAGCCAGACAGACATCACGAAGGCGCCAAAGATGGCCCAGATTGGCATAAGCCGATCTGGCTTTCACTATACGTGCATTGATCTTATCACCCACGCCACCACCAGTACTTATGCAGCCTCCCAGATACACGGACTTCTCGACCAGTTCTGTCTGCTCACTACCCAGGGTGAGTGCAGGATCGGGGTCCTGTCAGTCTTGTAAAAGTACTTTGCACTTAGAAGGTGAGAAGCACATACCATACCTGCGGACACTAATTGCCAACTGGTTAAGTGCGGATTACATGGCTTAAGTATTGTCGCACAGTAAGAAAATATCATCCTCATGCTCAAGTCTAGAAGTCTCTCCAGGCAACAGATTCACACTGTCATTAATTACATTCATCAGAACTGTTTCCAGAACGTCGTCAATTCGCAAAGTTGAGGAATGGTGAGCTTGAGCAACCCCGTCTAACCTCACTGCTTGAATGGAACGATAGAGAGAGGTGGTTGTATGCCCTCACTCTGCTCGGGGTGCGAACTGTTCAGGCACACACTTCAATAGACAGTCCCAGTGAACCGTCCTATCCATCCTGTCATCTGGGCCTAGTGATTTGTAGCGCTTCAAGAGTTGTAGTTCCTTGCGGACTTCCGCGTCATTTGATGGATCAGTCGTCACAGGACAGTCTGATGAATGTTAACGGGGTACAGACCAGTTGAACTGTTCGTCGTCCAAGACATCGATAGATGTTAGTGGTCGTCATCCCGTCATCTTCACACATTGTTTCGCTCACAGCAAACTTCCTGTCAGTGGTTTGGTTAAGTTGAAAGAGCCTCCGATATGCTGTACTATTCTAAGGTCACAAAATGAGTAATACCTGTGTAAGGGATATAGTACTATGTAGTAATAACAGACCGATTGATGAGGTAGTAAGTATTCATCAATTGAGGCGGTTGGGACGCATGTTACGTATGCTTATTGTCTGCTTACTTCAACGGGCGATGTTTTCTAGTGTAGGAGTAGACCGGAAGAAATTTAGTGGCAGCCTAACCAAAACATAGCATTGGCCCATGAAGTCACAGACAATTGGACTGACCCATGTTAAAAAGTATAGATAACCTGGTTAGGGTCTGCGTGATTATCGTAACCAATGGTTAAAGACTTTGGAAGACACGGCTCGAAATCGTTTGAAGTGGCGCAGTGCATTCGTTCTATATCTTCCCCTAAATTCACCGTAACCTTTTTTGATTTTGCTTCACTAAATTATATATTTTTTTCGAATAGTATCTTCGATGCCCATTCTTCCCCATTACCACTGATACTTACTACCTCTACTATTCTGTGATTTGGCCTGACAATTCCATACCTCTGTGCTACTGGGGTATGACAACTTGAACTGATGTACTTACGTAGCTGGTTCTACCTCATGACTGACTGACTGACTGACTGACTGACTGACTGACTGACAAGTTCCCCAAATTTTATCGAAGTTGAAAAGGTCATAACTAATTTGAGGCAGGTCAGAGTAGCAGAATCCAGAGTCCTGTAAGAATGGTGGATTAGTTTACCAATTAGGTGAAATGAGATACCAAAATCTGAACGTATTTTCTCCTGACTAGTATCATTCGACGATCTCCCCAGTTTAAAAAAAGAACGGAAACTCTTATGTGGTAACAACAGAGGAATTAATTCGAGCAAAGTAGCGTCTAAAACACTAGTCTCAATAGTCATCCGACGCGTAATCAGGGCTTGTGAACTGGAAAATCGAAAACCCGGGTTGGTTTGAGATCTGTGTGTGAGTGTAGGTCAAATACCCTTTTCTATTCACATTTTCTAGACTCTACTTTCTGACTATCTGACCGACTGATAAATTTCTGGTTCAAACGTACACATACGACTACCCGATCTCTAAGCACCAGCTAATTTCCTTAGTCGCGATAGAGTTTCAGTATTAAAAATATTGCAGTTATCTGGAGCGTGAATGTGAGGACTAATTTCATAAGATGTGGGAAAGAACATGTTGAATTTCTTAATCTCCTTGTGTTTTGGACGTTGGAAATGGTGTTGGTTGTATTAAATTCTGTACCGTTTAATGACAATGGCACATTTACTTTCTAGTTTCGGAGTATCATTTTGTCTAGGTAATTCATCCACTTGACCAAACTAGGCTGTCTGTTTTTATTTAATTATAAATCGTGTACAGGTATTATGATATTGCTAATGAGTCACAATATAAAATGGAATGCCCCTTTCGCATGCAAAAATGAAAATGCGTGGTATGTGGTCTACAGATAAATTAAATTAGGGACTAAATCATTTTGTGCAATTTCTTGACTGAAAAGAATAACCCTAAAACGTTTTATATCTGACTGTATTTGGTTTCAGTAGGGTTAAGTTCTGAGTGCAAGTGCTATTGATTTTGATTCTACATCTGGAAAACGTTATTTGATAACTGGATCACTATCATAATTAGAAGTATCGGCGGATTCAGTTATATCTAGTTTAGGATTATAGTACATCAACAGTAAATTAGTGGATAAAAATCGATTCTCCGTGGATAGTCTATTCGTCGAATTTACAAAATACTATACTATCATAATCATATCAAGAAATGACTCTAGGTTAGTTAAATATGAAGGTGTCGGTGTTTGTTTGGTATGACTTATGTAATTTGGATTCTTCCGATGATCATTTTTATGAAAAATAAATCCAGGATACTTAACAGAATAAAAGAAAATATTACAAATTAAACAGATAATAGCAGTACACGTTATTTTCAGTAACCACTAAATCGGTATTAAAAACATCAAAATAATTCGAAAATGTTTTTCTAACTATAAAAAAGACAAGTAGCCGAAACGTTTCATGCAATACAAAATCCTTCTGCCCTCAATAGAAAGAAAGGCCTGAATACTCATCCAACTTGGATTGTTTATCCAAACAGCCACATTTAACTCTATTCATTCCCGGCCCAATCTCCACCTACACTCAAATTCTAACTGCATTCTTTCATATTAAAAATTAGACATTTTTCATAACCACCATCATACACAGAATGACGTCTCATACAGAAGCACCTTAACCAAAAATTCCACATGACATTGATATAATCAAAGCTATTTCCGGTGGAACTCAATACTTCGTCCTTTTCCTGTTTTATTTAAGGTGTGTTAATTTGATTGCACTATCTATTTATTTACTCTGAAGAACTGGCTTACATTAAGTCGCGAGACGTCGAGAATTTTAATTGTCATTCTTTAAAATAATACAAATATATTTTAGTGAAGATTAAAAATTTCAAATGTTTACTTATGTACATCTTATATGAACGTATCACAGAAAAAGAGACAAATTGGAGCATGAATATAGGATTTTTCCTCGTAATCGTAGATTTAAGTGGTAGAATATGTGATATATGAGAAATCATGAACAGCTGATTAAGGCTCAGAAGTATAAAATAGAACATTAGAAAGGACATAAAGCCATAGGAAAATTCCTCATAACTCTCAAAAACGTGACCAACAAGATTCATTTTGAAGGATTTAGCGAAGCTTAATAAATTTGAAGTCCTCTTTTGTTTTTGTTGAGGGATTTTAAACAACCAACATCATGCTCTCCAGCAGTCGCAAACATTTTCCGTCTAGTTACACTTTGTTGGTAGTGTCAGAAATTGTGAGCACTAATTATCCTTTCTGTTCTTCCTAGGTATGTGTTCCGCAGGTACATGTAAACTTGTAAAAACATTAGGAGGTTACAGAAGTGGGAATTCATTCAATTTGGATTGTCTGAATGAATATTTCACTTGGTACATGCAGACAAATTAATCCGATGGATTTATCATTTTTAGTATTAGCTGTAGTTTAAAATCAATCTTTCCATCCATTTCATAGCTCTTGAACAAAGTTTTAGAAAAATATGTTTTTTCCAACCCTAGTCCTTTTGCTTTCCTATGTTCTAGTAGTTCCATATTTAGTTATGACTGAGTAAAGCCGAGCTCTCATAACTAATCCAGTCATTTATCAACTTTCTCAATTTAAAAACATTATACTTGTGTTTTTGGGAAAAAAAATCAGATCTTGCCACAAATATGTTTTCGCTCTCAATTGTGTAACGGTCATACATGATCTTGAATACAGTTAGATGTTTTTCGTATAGGTCTGCTAAAGTCAATGGTTTGATCTCGGTAGTTACATTCGAAGTAAACAGTCAGTGTATTAGTTAACGTCTGTTTGCCCACGCAACAAATTTTTCATTTGAAACTGCAACTCAACATTATGAAGCTCTTTGTACTATTATTAAACTTGAAAATCACGTGGCAATATGAATAAAAGTCCTCAATGCATTATAAGTAACAAATCCCAATATGTGTATAAGTAGAAACTTTTTCATTCAAAGTCTCAGTAAAACATTTGTGATTTTGAAAAGATTCGGTAATAGTTAGTGGGTCAAACGAAGCTTAGTATTCGAACAAAGCCAAAACGTCATAAGTCATCTATCAATTGTTAAAGAGTTCCAAAGTATTCCTCGTAAAAGCTCATAGAGGTCCGGGAAACTTTGCGAAACATTTTTTTTCAAATCAATGTCGAGTAGAAGCTTCTCAAAAACATGTAGAAAGTGAGGAGTGTTGTGCCACGTTTCTGATTGGATAATTACCTACGCTGCTACCACATTTAGTATTGTACTAGAAGCCTAAAGCCTTCTGTAATACTATAAATACCCTCGTTTTTCTGAACATTAACTAACCTTAGAGTAAAGTGTTTTTTGTTCTTCACGCCTTTTCTCTTGTACCAAGTTACCTTGTAGATTTAATCTAGGGTCATTAGAAGGGGCTAGCAAATTGAATCGAGCGTCCAATTAGAAGTCTTATGATCAATAAATTTGCTTTAAAAATGTTTGATTCATTGAAGAATAGCTTCTATAGCTTTCCGTTTTTCATTTATTCGCCGATACACTACACTTTCATTGTAAAATTACCTATAACTCTGTTCGTTTTGAAATTTTGGTCTATTTCCATCCATTGTATTTTCCTGCCGTTTCAAAATGTAGTATCAGGAACCGATGTATTGTAAAACACTCAGCAGATGTGTTTTTGTCTCTTAAAGCTCTTTATTAGAAAATGTTTATGAAGTGACTGGAAGTTATTGAGTTGCACAGTAAATTCAGTACCGTAGGTGTGATTGTTAACATCTTGTTTTATCTCAAACTGACTGAAATGTGAAACTACGTGCAATTATACTTTTACTTATTGGCTAGTACGGTCCTCATCGCGAAATTCGGAGATTTTTATACTCAGAAAATTATGTTGTTATCTGTCTTCATTTGATATCCATTCTAAACTAGAATCAAACGTATGCCTATTGCTCCGTCATTCTAGTGTTTTCGGATTGAAAACCATATTCGAATCGAACAATATGTTAGTCGAATCTCGGTGCCAAAAAAAGATTAATTACCAGTTAATTATTCTTCCTCAGTTAGTGACTTATCACCTATGTAAGGTACTGAAATAACTAAATGATGTAAAATCTTAGGGCTTTCAATTTAAGTTACATTATTTAAGGTTAATTAATCTGGAAAGTATCTGTATTAATAATGAAATGAAGAAAGTTTTCGAAAACCATTTCCTATTGTTGTTTTTATGGGTTGTTCTCAGATAATTACATTTTTGTTTACTATGGTGAGATGTTATCCGTATCTCAAACGTTTATCTTATTCTAATTGTTTTTCCTTCTGGTGACCCTTTTCTCTATCTTTTCTGGGCTACAGAGCGTGTGGTACAACGCTTTATCGCTTATTTAAGCTCAAAATTCCAATAGGTTTTAAAACATTTAAGGGAATTTGTAAAAGTAATTATTTTATTGCCTAAAATTTTGTGTGGTTATTGTTTTCTTTCTTATCAGCGTTGTTATTCAAAATTTTTGTTTCTAATTTGAAGTAATTAGTCCACTAGAGTGTTCCCTTTAGTTATCTTTTGGATTCAAACTTTTCATTTTCTCTCAGGCAAACGCTGGATTCGTCAATTCCTTATGGGTGCTACGTTATTGCCTTTTCTAATATGTTGTTTCACTTTTCTGGTAGATCTTGTTGCTATATACTACCGTACAAGTCGGTCTATCCCATTCTTCACAATGCTCTCCATCACTTCCATTATCTTATTCGTAGTCATTCCATTAAATTTAGTCGGTACTGTGTTAGGCCGTAATTTATTTGGTTTAGCGAATTTTCCATGTCGAGTGAATCCTGTTCCCAAAGCAATACCGGAAAAGAAATGGTTTATGGAACCGTCATTTCTCATTATTGCAAGTGGACTATTACCGTTTGGATCAATTTTTATTGAATTGTAAGTCTATACACTAGTTTTATACAGCCAGATCCGTACTTATATTTACCAGTAATTGTTGATTTAATCCTTCCATTATATTGAACAGGTCTCAGAAACTGACATTTTACGAATCATTAACCAATATAGATGGCATCAAATAAATGCTGCTTTTCTTTTTGTAGTCAATCATAAGCATCTTAGGGCCTGGAGCGATTTTTTCGACTGCCCAAGTTGTTATGCTTCATAGAACAATCGGATGAAATGAAAAACAAATAATAGTGACTAAATTAAGCATTGGCGAATATATTTCAAAAATAGGGTGTGTATAATAACATTTGCTGTTACCTTGATATGGTGGTCTATTGCGATGACTCATTTGAACCATATTAGCTCGAATACTTTTTCTTCGATGCCCTTTTATGATGGGGAGGTCTAATAAAGAACGGTAAAATCAAAGGTAATATATCTAAGGTCATATTTCAAATCTATTGCGATGTGATAGCAACGAGCTGTCCCCAGCACTCGACCAATATTTTCCAAAATAAACGAGTCAAAGTAAGTCGACCGTCAAAATCAATTATTTTTTTTGAGAATATGACTAGTAGGTTGCTTCTTGGTGAATATGGTCTATTGTCTAGGTATGTGACTTCGGCTCCACAGAGCGATGGTTTAAGTGCGAGCGACGGGAGTTCTTTTGTACACGAAGCTCTCATTCGTGTTTGTTGTTCTCTGGTTCCATGTAACTTAAACATGATAGAAATACATATATACATACGTTTGTTCAGAGCAAGTAATGGATGTCTAAGTAGCTGCTGTAACCTGTATACGCCACTGGCAATGCTTGTTCTTGACAGGTTATCAGCGGTAATACAGTCGCAAAGGTTGTTTTTGGATATTGTAAATTCAAAGTGAAAACTAATTGTTGATACAATTTATTGGCTTCTTCGTGGCATATCCTCCAGTTTTTCGTATCCGTGTTCTTTTTATCATTATGATTTTAGTAACGTTTCGAACATTTATATAAACTTCAAAAACTAAAGTTTGTTTAACATTTGTTAATAATGTAGGTAATTATAATTCTAGGTTGTACGCAGTTGATGAGAAACCGTGAAATAGAAAGAATTATTTTCGTTTTTGTTGTTTTTTCTCTGTTTAGATTTACCTAGGTATCTGTATGTATAAGGTTCTCTATATGTTTAGAACTTAATTTTGAGAGCTATATTGAAGTCGCTGAGTTTGTCAACATTTCAAATGAAGGTTGCGTCGAAATTTTGTAGTTCTGTTCGTCTACTTTTCCGGTTCTTCTCTAGCCTTAGTTTTTGTATTGTCACGATCAGGTGGTGGTCTGCAGTTGTGTTAGTTCCTCTCTTTGTCCTTATGTTTCACACAGATTTTCTGAATTGCCTGCTGATGCAGATGCGATCGATCTGGTTTTCTATAGCGTAGTCGGTGGAAACCCATATAACTTTTGTGAGTAAAAATGCTACCACATATAGCCAATTTGTTTAAAACATGTAGATTTATCATTCTTGCACCATTCCCACCTTTTCTCCCAGTCCATGTCATCCCATGATATTTTTATACCCGGTATTGTACATACCAACCTCGAAGATTAAGTTCCCCATCAGGATGGTCAGGTGTTTTCCTGAACATTTGTTTACTATGGACTGAAACCCCCCTATCAAATTAATTTTAATCTTCTCCACTGCTATCGTTGGTAGGTGGGTAACATCGGACGACATCCATTGTGATCTCTTCCTTTGTCTTGAGGACTCTGCATTTTGTCAGCGTCTTCACTAAATAGAACTATGTCATCGGCATATTCTAAGTCAACAAGTGAATCTCCCGGTAAAAGTTCAACCTCTGGAAATTTAAATGAGGAAAGTGTTATCTCTAAAAGCACGTCAACGATAAAGTTAAACAAGAATGGAGAGAGTAGACAACCCTGACGAACATCACTTACTTGAGGTAATCAATTATGATGACAGTTCGCCATAAGCTCTCACTCGACCAGTTGTGTTCAAGTAGAGAGCCATTATAAGGTTAATGTACTTCTTTGGTACTCCTTTCAGTGAAAAACACTGACATAGAACCTCACGATCAGCAGAGTCAAATGCCACCTTAACATCGAGAAATACTACGATTGTGGGACGTATGAATGTGTGTCTATGTTCTAGGACCTGACGTAGTGTGAATATCTGATCTATACGACCACGTCCAGGTCGAAAACCAGCCTAGTTTTCTCTAGTCTGCTCTTCACAAGCTTTAGTTAGGCGTCAAAGTATTATTGAAGCTAATATTTTAGACACTATACTAGTCAAACTGATTCCTCTGTGATTATCATAAGGGGACTTTTGTCCTTTCTCATGGACTGGCACAATCAGAGATTGAGAGCAGTCAGATGGGATTACGTCCAGTCCCCAGATTCTATCTAAGACCTCGTTCAATCTCGCTGCTAATACTGGACCGCTATCCTTGAAAATCTCAGGGGCAAACCTGTCAGGGCCTGCTGCTCTCCCACACTTCAGATTTCCTATAGCTTTTTCAACTTTGTAAAGAGTTGAAGGACTTACATCAACTTGCCATTCAGGTCGACTGGAGATCGTGGGATACGAAAGTGTGATTGAAGGCCTGTTGAACTGATCCCTAAAGTGTTCTGCACATCGATCCAATCTCATGGATTGAGAGTGAACAATATGTCCATCGTTTTCGGAGATAGTTTCACTAGCAGTTGGATTCATAATACCGGTTTTCTTTTCAAGTCTGAACAGTTGTCTGCCGCTGCCTTTTCCATCTCTCTTGCTTTCGCTACCTACCACTGTTCGCGATCATTGCTTAGGCTACTTATCAGCCTGCGCTTAAGCTGACTCCGCTCTTCGTTATGTTCAGAGCCAGATGGCATGAGTTTTCGAGCATCTGTCAGTGCGGTAGATGCTGCTGCGATCCAGTGTTTCTCGCTAACCTTATGGTTGACCTTACTAGCAGATGTCACTGTTGTTTTCACAGCTTTTCGGATATCATTCCACGCTGCCTCGGGGTGGGCATCACTTACGTGGCTGTCTAACTGGTTTTCTAGTTGTTCCTGAAAAATATTCTTAGCTTGGCTATCATTAAGTAGAACCCTAAGAGGTTTCCTTGCAGAGTCTTTTCTACGTCCAGTAAGGTGCAGACAAATACGCACTCGCGCTAGGGCATGATCTGAATCTAAGCATGTGCTCCAGGATGAGTGACAGTCTTCTATCGAGCCCCTCCATCGGTGGCTGATAGCGATGTGATCTATTTGGTCCAACGTTGGGAAGATTCCACGGATCGCCATGTCACAAGATGTTTTTTCTTTATGCGTAAAGTTAGTATTTGCTAGAAACAGACAGTTATCTGAGCATAGCTGGAACAGACGATCGCCATTATCTTGAGCCACGACACCATAAGATCCGCCCAAGTATCCTTCCTTTTCGCTTAGTTTATCTACTTGAGCATTAAAGTCACCAGCCATTATTACTATATCAGAGCGCCTAGCTTTTCGGTGAAGGTCGGAAAGCTTTCTGTAATATTCGTCTTTCACATCATGTGAGCTGCAGTCAGCAGGAGAGTAGGCAGAGACGACGAAGAGGCAACAACCTGTGTCCCTATCTTTCCGAGTCCTTGCTGTTCCATTTAGTCGGACAGCGCACAAACGACTGTCTACTGAGATCCAGTCTAGGAGAGCAAGTTCTACCTTAGGACTCAATGCTATACCTACATTGGCGAGGCTACGGAAAGCAGCATCTGGGCTTCCAGATACACGAAGCGTGAATCGAGTTGGTTCTTTATTTTGATATAGTGAGGTCAAATGAATGGCGCTACTCGGATCCTGTATGCGCGTTTCGGAGATGTAGCACACATCGATGGCGCGAGATTCCAAAGTCCTAGCTAAGGAAGCCTGTTGTCCTATTTGGCCCAGTGTTCGGATGTTCAAAGCTCCTACATGTATTTTAGAGAGTGGTTTCAGGAGACCGGGAATAACGTTCCATGTACTCGAATCGTTTGCACTAGCGGTGCGAGATGATAAAGGGACATAAGAATGATTAGTCGTGATGATAAGAGAGTTATTGGGATGTGCTTCTACTTTTTCAGTGATGGTCTAACTTACATTGGTTCGTGATTTTAAAAAAGTTCAACAATCTTTACAACCCCATACTGAAAACTATTATTAGCATTACAGTAAAATGCGAATAAACATTACAGGTCTGACAAATAAGAAAAATGTATAACCCAGTGTTTTTCTTTTGGGGATTACAGTCAATAATGCGTTTGTAAACGAAATATTAAACTATTGTTGGCAGTTTAATAGGTAAAATGGTTAAGTATTAACTATAATGAAGTCAAGCGGTATGCATCGCTCAAAGAACAATATCTGTCAGGAAGATACAAGATTATCGAAATCACAACAAACCAAACCTATTACTACTGTAACTCGCTACGAAATGCAAGCGGGATTAAATTGATAGAATGTGGCCTCATGATTTTAACTAGGGAAATCTACTGAACGACTTATTAACAGGACGATGAATTTAGTTGGGTCAGTATACAGTTGTATGAGCAATCCCATAAACTTAAAGAAGCTGTCCAATCATATGAAATAGTAAGTACTTGTTGAAAGGGTAGAAAGACGCGCAAAAGGTCATGGAAGCAACAAGCGAATACGAATAATCCTTCTTTACAGATTATTCACACTGCTACCTTTTAGACAAAACTAATGGATAAAAAAATGAATCAAGTTAAGTGATAGTCAGTTTTATACTCATTAATTTCTTCGAATAAACATACGAAACAGACTAACAGTGAGCATAAACTCTGCTATAAATAAACTGTGTCAACTAAATAGGAAAGCTCCTTTGCTAAACGAACAAACCGCTCAAAAAACGGTAACATTTCTGTCATGAAACGCTAACGAATATACCAGTCGCTGGAGTCTTTTAACACCGTAGATGGCTTCACAACTATCTTTTTTGACTGTATGCATATTCAGTGAGGAATTAGTTAACAATCCCACTGTAATTAGAAACGATAGTGGGTCTCAAATTATTTCATAGCTTGTTAGAGAAAGAGAAATTTTCAGCCTCAAACTGAGGGATTCGATTTACTGGTGTAATTACAATGGGTGATTAAATAATGACTACGGATATGCGACAAAGGTATTTAAAACTACATTTTATTATCCAGCCTAATAGAAAATATGTGTGGAATGTTTATAAGCAAACTAATTTATTAACTTGTACACATAAATTTGTGTAATATCAATTTCTCAGCCACTAAATAATGATAATAGTATCGACCAAGTTTACACAGATCTACCTTAGGTTAAAATACCAATACTTCATCATAAAGAGTAATCTAATACCTTCTTACCTTGTGTCCAAAGAATTCGTAATCCAAATACTTATCAAATCGATCAGCAAAGTCTATCTCTGATGGAACCCATCTAACCTTTTTTGAATGTAGGAAAAACATTGAATTTGATTAAATAACTTATACGTCAGCACCGAAAATCAACCAACAGATTCACAGTTATTTACTAATACTTAAATATCATGTCATATATTCATATAACCATAGGAAAATCAAAATTGAACCAGTGAACGTTTATTTCAGAGATGTCAAACATTTTTAATGCACCGTTCAGTTACGAGATTACTTATCTACTTAGAGATATTTATGTAATATGGACGGTTATTGTTAAGACATTTATTTTGATTGCCTTTTCCTCCATTCCGACCAGCTACTATACTTCAACTGAATGTTGGTATCGGTAAATGAGAATATACATCAAACCTAATTTAACATAATCAGAAGAGAATATTTTGTATTTTATAACTAGGAAATTCACACTTCAACTTTTCATCTTTTCTCTTTCTAATTGCTTAATTGTAGATATTTTGTCTTCACATCATTTTGGGCGTATAAAATTTACTTTGTTTTTGGCTTCACTTTGCTTGTTTTATTTCTTCTAATTGCTGTGACAACATCTGTTACTGTTGTGGGCACCTATTTCTTGTTGAATTCTGAGGATTATCGTTGGTAAGTGAGATTAACTCAATTATTTTGTAGTTTTACCATGAAAACTTGTTTAGAGTCGTGTTACTGACCAATCCACTTAACTTTCTGACAGTTCTCAAGTTTGAATCCTCTCCGCTGACCGAGGTTCGGGTATCCTGAATACAGAAATTCCTACTTTATATCTGATCTTTTTCTTCTCTGTCTAATTATGAAAACTCCATATGAGAATGGTCTTACTTAATGGCAGTATGAAATTTTATACTCAAGATTTGCGATTATTGTTAAGATAACTAATGCAACTCTACTTTGCGGCTTTTTTTCCAACTCAAATTTTTGTTAAAAGTGTATTTTCTCCTGTGATATTGATAGATCTTTAAGATTGTCATTGATCTGGATGCAACTCATGGTAAAGTTAATATCACATTTCGCTAGCATAAGTTTAGGGATGTAACGTAAAAGCCCATTAAGTCCTTCTATATATTTCTTCAACAGATTCATAATTCCCATCTAAGCATTCTTATCGGGATTAATCCACATACATATATCCTTACGCATTAGTATTTTTGGTAGCTTAGTTTATTTTGAAATTAACTTGTCCATAATTTAATATTAGCTATTGAGTGACTAGAAAGAGATAACAATGCTTAACTGTTTCATTTTAGTTTAAGACATATAGTGTAACGCATTTACCTAAGTTTCTGCTTTATGGCACTTTCTGTGTAAGTATCAGTCGTACTGTTTTGTTGGTCAGAAAAAGGTTGTTGAAGCAAGATTCAGGTCTGTAATACGACGGTAAAAAAAATCAAGAGATCTAACCACTTAGCCTCCACAAATCGTTGTACCGTCAAATCTTTATAACATCTTCGATTCCATTCCTTGAAGCGATTTAAAACCACATACTTTAATAACATTATCAAACTATGTTGTTCATTGGAAAACTAGTTTCTGAATTTTCTTAGCAAATTATTTTTAATGAATTGGAAAAACCACCGAGTTCAACTAGAACAACGTACACTTAAACACCAAGGTTTCTTTGCATTAAAATAGTATTAATCGCACTGTCATATATTGATGAATATTCTTGTATTCCTTTTCTTATGTGTTTTTATTGGATGGCCTTTATTATTATTGTTATTACTGTTAATATCCTGCTTTATTAGGCAATGGACAAGTTTTCTTTCTGGTGCATCGATCACGTTTTATGCATATTTATATTCGATTTACTACTACTTCTTCAAAACCAAGTGAGTATCTGTCAACATATGTTTCCTTGTATTTCAGCTTTGGACTGCTATTTTAGTATATAACGTGTCATCGATATCTTCAATAAATTGCCTATATTCAGTGGTGTCACTTTCTTAGTGATCCTGATGTCCATGATTGTGTTTGCACTTTTCAAACAGGGTAGTTCCACTCTGTCCCGATGGGTCGTGTGAGTTACATGTTTCCCCAGCTGGATCTGAATGGCTCACCATTTAGCGATATAGGACTAGGTAGAGGCGGAATAGTGGTGAATTTGAGATGTGGTGTTGAGAAATGAAGGATAGTCGTATCGGACTTGTGTATATTCATTTATCACGACACTGTGGGTTCTAAATTGTCATGCAACTCATTATCTTAAGACATTTATGAGACCTGACTTAAAACGAAAATCAGTGATGGCCTTGCTGTAGTTTTCTACATTATACTTCATAAACAGTAAAACATACTTTCCAACTAAATGAAATCCATCTTTTTATGTCTCGTTTTGCCACGTAAAACACATTTTTCAAGGCTCTATTTAACCAAACATTTAATGTTACGATTAAAAGTAGGTAGTATGGTGTGTAGTAGAGATGACTGAAATGTAAAATCCTCACTATTAATATTCTTCTTTGTTTCAATTTCAGAATGTTTGGTCTATTTCAAACTACTTTCTATTTCGGTTATATGGCATTGTTTTGCCTATGTATAGGGTTACTTTGTGGTAAGTCTCTTTGGTCGCACACTTTTAGACTTATTCGAATATGAGGTACCTCGAAATTCTTTGTTCTTCAAATAAAAGTACTGGTGCTTTGAGTGGCGATTTCAGAATTTTGAATTTTAAGTACTTTTCAGCAGACAAGTTCATTTCTAGTCTGCACTGTCACGTTTACAAATAAAGGCTTAACTGTTCGAGCCCTTACTTATAATTAGGTCATCGACAAAGTCTCAGTAGGAATATAAAAGGCTTATTCGTGATCTAACACCCTGCACCATGGAAACGGACTGATGAGGTATCTACCTATGTTACGTCCTTGGTCTGTCTACCCACTTCTATAGATTAAGACCTTGACGCGATAGGTTGACTGGTTTAACCTTGAGGCTAACATGCATGAGTTCGGAGTGAGACCAACTGCTTGGCATAGAGAGACGAAAACTATTCTATCATCTGATGGGTTGACAAGCACTCGAGCGAGAGAAGACAAATCAACTGGAACACTACTCGATTTATTCCCAATTCCGACCTGGTTCGTGATTCAGATTAGTGTAAAAAGATACATGAATAAATTAATGACTAACCAGACTACAACGCACAAAGAATCAGGAAACTACAATTTTGTCCAAAACTGGGGATTACAGTAGAAAATGGAGTATAAAATATTACGTTTAAATTATAGTAGCCTTGGAACAGAAAAGGCTATGGCAGTGAATCATGCATCAAACGAGAGCTTATGGTCTGTAGAATACACTTGGGACAAACGTAAATATTACTGTTTTACAAGATTTGGATTAAAGAGAATAACGTCCCAAAAAATGGCTTCCGTAGTTTGTCAAGATTTCTTGTTTTTCTGTTCACATCAACCTATTAGAAAACAAGCTTCATATGTAGCACTTCCCATTAACTCTGCACCGGTGAATTCACACTATTACTATAAAGATCATTAGCAATGTTTAACTTGATTGTTTCAAATAAATTATACGTTGCGTTAACAGTTGTTTGCTATACTACTTCTTATGAATATCCAAAATAGTAAGAATTGAAATTTCCGACGTCTCGCGACTTAATGTAAGCCAGTTCTTCAGAGTAAATAAATAGATAGTGCAATCAAATTAACACACCTTAAATAAAACAGGAAAAGGACGAAGTATTGAGTTCCACCGGAAATAGCTTTGATTATATCAATGTCATGTGGAATTTTTGGTTAAGGTGCTTCTGTATGAGACGTCATTCTGTGTATGATGGTGGTTATGAAAAATGTCTAATTTTTAATATGAAAGAATGCAGTTAGAATTTGAGTGTAGGTGGAGATTGGGCCGGGAATGAATAGAGTTAAATGTGGCTGTTTGGATAAACAATCCAAGTTGGATGAGTATTCAGGCCTTTCTTTCTATTGAGGGCAGAAGGATTTTGTATTGCATGAAACGTTTCGGCTACTTGTCTTTTTTATAGTTAGAAAAACATTTTCGAATTATTTTGATGTTTTTAATACCGATTTAGTGGTTACTGAAAATAACGTGTACTGCTATTATCTGTTTAATTTGTAATATTTTCTTTTATTCTGTTAAGTATCCTGGATTTATTTTTCATAAAAATGATCATCGGAAGAATCCAAATTACATAAGTCATACCAAACAAACACCGACACCTTCATATTTAACTAACCTAGAGTCATTTCTTGATATGATTATGATAGTATAGTATTTTGTAAATTCGACGAATAGACTATCCACGGAGAATCGATTTTTATCCACTAATTTACTGTTGATGTACTATAATCCTAAACTAGATATAACTGAATCCGCCGATACTTCTAATTATGATAGTGATCCAGTTATCAAATAACGTTTTCCAGATGTAGAATCAAAATCAATAGCACTTGCACTCAGAACTTAACCCTACTGAAACCAAATACAGTCAGATATAAAACGTTTTAGGGTTATTCTTTTCAGTCAAGAAATTGCACAAAATGATTTAGTCCCTAATTTAATTTATCTGTAGACCACATACCACGCATTTTCATTTTTGCATGCGAAAGGGGCATTCCATTTTATATTGTGACTCATTAGCAATATCATAATACCTGTACACGATTTATAATTAAATAAAAACAGACAGCCTAGTTTGGTCAAGTGGATGAATTACCTAGACAAAATGATACTCCGAAACTAGAAAGTAAATGTGCCATTGTCATTAAACGGTACAGAATTTAATACAACCAACACCATTTCCAACGTCCAAAACACAAGGAGATTAAGAAATTCAACATGTTCTTTCCCACATCTTATGAAATTAGTCCTCACATTCACGCTCCAGATAACTGCAATATTTTTAATACTGAAACTCTATCGCGACTAAGGAAATTAGCTGGTGCTTAGAGATCGGGTAGTCGTATGTGTACGTTTGAACCAGAAATTTATCAGTCGGTCAGATAGTCAGAAAGTAGAGTCTAGAAAATGTGAATAGAAAAGGGTATTTGACCTACACTCACACACAGATCTCAAACCAACCCGGGTTTTCGATTTTCCAGTTCACAAGCCCTGATTACGCGTCGGATGACTATTGAGACTAGTGTTTTAGACGCTACTTTGCTCGAATTAATTCCTCTGTTGTTACCACATAAGAGTTTCCGTTCTTTTTTTAAACTGGGGAGATCGTCGAATGATACTAGTCAGGAGAAAATACGTTCAGATTTTGGTATCTCATTTCACCTAATTGGTAAACTAATCCACCATTCTTACAGGACTCTGGATTCTGCTACTCTGACCTGCCTCAAATTAGTTATGACCTTTTCAACTTCGATAAAATTTGGGGAACTTGTCAGTCAGTCAGTCAGTCAGTCAGTCAGTCATGAGGTAGAACCAGCTACGTAAGTACATCAGTTCAAGTTGTCATACCCCAGTAGCACAGAGGTATGGAATTGTCAGGCCAAATCACAGAATAGTAGAGGTAGTAAGTATCAGTGGTAATGGGGAAGAATGGGCATCGAAGATACTATTCGAAAAAAATATATAATTTAGTGAAGCAAAATCAAAAAAGGTTACGGTGAATTTAGGGGAAGATATAGAACGAATGCACTGCGCCACTTCAAACGATTTCGAGCCGTGTCTTCCAAAGTCTTTAACCATTGGTTACGATAATCACGCGGACCCTAACCAGGTTATCTATACTTTTTAACATGGGTCAGTCCAATTGTCTGTGACTTCATGGACCAATGCTATGTTTTGGTTAGGCTGCCACTAAATTTCTTCCGGTCTACTCCTACACTAGAAAACATCGCCCGTTGAAGTAAGCAGACAATAAGCATACGTAACATGCGTCCCAACCGCCTCAATTGATGAATACTTACTACCTCATCAATCGGTCTGTTATTACTACATAGTACTATATCCCTTACACAGTTATTACTCATTATGTGCTGCATGTGCTGGTGTTGTCAATGTAATTTGTAAACTTTTCAGCTGCAGATGTTTATTATGTTTTTTTCATGTAACATTTATTATTCAGGGCGCTGTGTTGTAGAGAAGTGATATTGATTTTGTTTGTGGTTGATCTGAGTGGAACATAACCGACAAGTTCACGACTGTTAGGTATATAATAAAGTATATATGGTGTCTCCATTCGGTTTGTATTCATTTATTTTCTTATTCACTCGCACTTCATCTTTTGTGAATATTTACATATGTTAGTGTTGTTTGTGAGTGTTAACTTATGATCATCGTGGAAAATTTGTTTTCTCTAAAAATTATCTGAATCTGTGGTTAATTATAGATGCTTAATCTGGCTTACGTATAAAGTGATATATATTCATATATATATGCCAATCCGTTTTTCTATATGTTTACTTTCTAATATAACCAGCTGTGCATGAAAACTTAAACAATTATCTCTCTCTTTTTCAAGGTTCAGTTGGATACATTGCTGCTAATAGATTCGTTCGTAAAATATACTCGGTTGTCAAGGTGGATTGAAATGCCTAATCATGACCAGATATTGTTCCTCTTTGTTTTTGTATGAAATTCTTAAGCTGTGATTATTGTCAACGTTTTTTCCTCTTCCTCACCTTCTGTACTTTGTGTATGTTTTTTCCACTATTCTGTGTGACTTCGATTTTGGTGTAAGTTGTTTGGGGATTTTTATCTATGGTCAGTATTTTATTTCTTAAATTAGCTTTGTTCATATAAGCACACGTCAACAATTCATTTGTGTTTGAGGAATTCAGTTTTTATTCTTACATTACCATTAATTATAATTACGTTTCGTTATAGTTTTTGATTTTTTTCTCTTCACTCATAGTTTTCACTGTTTCTAGGTTGCTTCCTGTCAAATGTAGCGAACTGTACTTTGTTACCCATTGTGAACAGTGACATGATATAAAGAGTAATTTGTATCCATCCTTTTATTGTCACATAGTATGTTTATCTTGATAAATAGCTTCACATGTGAGTGATATTCTAAAATGATTAGAAGTAGTCGAATTGATGTGCTGACTAAGAACTCCCCAAATAACCCAATCTATGACAAGTTAAGATAGATCAGCACAATTGAACGTGATATATTTGGAATTGGTAATAAGTCTGGAGTCAAGTACAAAGAAGTCATCAGTTAGTACAAATACCACGTGTTCCTGAATGATAGTGTCTTGCTTAACCGTGCCATTCATGTCTCTGAATGAGGATAGCTGCATCTCAAAGATGTCTGCATTGTTGCTTAGGGTGGTCAAAAGACTAGTTTGTTAGCGTCTTCATCAAACGGAACTACATCATCTGGTAGGAGTTCTATCCCTGAAAAGCCAGACGATGGAAGTGTTATTTTCAAAGGCATGTCTATGACAAAATGGGTAAATCTGGCAACCCTGACGAACACCACTTGCAGTAACCGATTCCGACGAAAGTTCTCCACAAACTCCGACTCAATCAATACTGTTCGAGTAGGGCTTCTAAAGGGTTAGTGTACTTTCTTGGTACGACTTTTAATGACAGACTGCCACAAGACCTCACGATCAACGGGGTCGAACGTCGACTCAAGGTCAAAGGACACGCCTGTGGTCGGACATCAGGATGATATGTCCGTGTTCCACGACCAGATGGACTTTGAGTATTTAGTCTACACATCCAGGTCTGAAACCACCCATGTTTTCTCAGATTTGCTCTTCATGAGCTCTGGCTAGACATCGAAGTACTATTGGGGATTATGTTTCAGACTCTATACTAGTCAAACTAATTCCTCTGTGATTGTCACAAGAGGTATCTCAATTCCGCTATTGCGGTCGAAATTACTTGTAATTGTCCACCTTAACTCCAAAATACTGTATAGTCGTCAGGTTCTAACGTGATTTGTGTATTCCGTATATCTCAGATGTTAATATTTGTGGGAGTCAGTGTGTTCAGAAAGTGTGATCTCAATCAATGGTTTTTGATAACGGATTTCAGTGAGGTGCAGATATTTCAATTAAGGCTAACCAAGAATTTGGAGGCTCAATAGTTCACGATTTCGTTCAGAACCTTAGAAGTTATTTGACCACCACAGTTTGCCGCGTTTAGCACACTTGAAACATCCAGACTAAAACAATTATACCACCCTCATATTACCAGCCAGGATGTATGGACTATTAATGACTTAAAATTTTAATGGAATATGATTCTGTCTGGATTTTTTGACTTTGTACAAGAATAAATTTCCCGCGACTGGGTACACATGCTTGTCAGGCATGAGATTATAAGTAAGAACTAACCACTCATCGGTTTGCCATTTTCTTGACGCCTGTGACTATTAAGTGAGTAGTAATCTAGTTTATAAATTATCACGGCTCAGTCCGTCTATCAATTAAGGGACGAGTATACTGCGCGGCAGTTCGTTCTGTTTTACTTTATGGCTGCGAAAGGTGGCCTTTAAGGGTAGAAGATATTCGTAAGCTACTAGTATTTGACCACGGATGCCTTAGGAACATTTCTCGCACCTTTAATCGTCGGGTGAGTAATAGTGAGGTTAGCTGCAGGGTATTGGGGAATGATGTCTGGGCCACGGGTTGCGTATGCCTGAACACCAATTACCATGACGCTCAATGCTGACTAGTGTTGGTGATGGTTGAAAAGAAGTTAGGGGCAGCCAAACCAAAACGCGGCATCAGTGCTTGAAGTCACTAACTCCTAGTCTTAGTCATGTTGGTAAATGCAAACTACTCGGTTGGGGTCTGCGTGACTATCGTAACCAATGATTGGAGACTTGGTGACATGGCTCAGAATCGATAACAATGGGGTAGGTGTATACACTTCCTGTCTCCCCTTAAACTATGAGAATAAAATTGTTTTATGTCTTTCATCCTGTAATATATCCTTATATTCAATCCTTTTATATATTACCACGATTGAATTAACCACTGAATTCGGTGTTCATCTTGTTGTGCTAATGAGGTATCACAACTTGGACTGTTGCATATATGTGCCTGGTCCTACGTTGTAGCTGACTGCTCATTGCTCACTCGATGTAATCGATCAACAAATCTTGTTCATGTCCCTTGAATGTTCCCACTTTGTATGAATCGTCAACCAATAGCTTACCCTGTTGGGTTTGAAAAGCATTTCTATAGTCAGTAAAGTGAAGCTGAAGATGTTTTCTTGGTTGCCATCCAAACTTTCGTCAAATATAGGTCATAGTAAGTCAGTGATTCAGTTGTAAAGTCAAATGGGTGGCCTAAACGTCATTACAATATGTGATTTAAACTGATTGCGCATATCTTTTTTAGATAATTTGAAACTGGGTTCATTTTATAAGCTATCATGTGACCACCCACTGTTTTTACTGTCCTCTAGAGGCGAATAGCCTGAATACTTGTATTTCCCCCATTAAGTGACTTATTGAAAATAAAAGAAACATTATTTTTATTACAACTGGAGATTCGATTCTTTAATATGAAACAGGTTAGTGACGGAGTCACAAGGAAATATATGTAATAACGAGCCTGTTGCAACTGATACACGGATAAACTATAATGGGCCTTTGAGTACGCCTCAATTTATAAAACCAATGAATTTCCCAAGGTTCCACTTCACCAGTGGCCACGAGAGAACTGCTTTTCAATTAATAATTTACAGCTTAGTGTCTATAATAAACAACATTGTTACTGCTAATTGCGGCTCCTCTTGAAGTGTAAGCTTGGACTCAACAAATGTAATTTAGAATATTAAAGATTCACATTGTGAAAATCAGAACAACACATATAAGCGAATAATTGTTTTCAATTAGATCGTCATCAGGCTTTAGTTTATTTTCCAGGCTGAAGGTACATTGTGAAGGGAGTTTGGAAAGTTTTGTTAGAGAATTCTGTAGGGAAGGAAGCAGTCTTTGAGAATCTGTGCTGACACGGGCGTACAACTGCGAATCGAAACTGGTTAGTGGGGTAATATTTTGAATAACAAAACATTTTGAGAAGATTGAAGGTCTTATTATATCGTCTACGTGTTTGTGCAGGACTGTGGGAAGCGTCAGCACATGAGTAGACGTGAGCCGTTGAGTTTAGGTCTGAATGGTTCGACATTGACTTCCATTATCAGTAACTTAGCATTTTGAAACATCAGCTGGAAAACAAGAACTCTGACTCATCTTTCCTCACTATTATTTTCTAGAGGATCTAGCGTTTCAACAGTTAGACAAGAATTCGAAAACTATGCATGGCCAGAAGTCGTAACATCTTTGAGGAGTCAGATTTTTACTATGATCTGGGATGGGGTATATGCTTTCCCTCTCGAAATGCTCTCATAGAGCCACATATATATGGCATAAGCTAGAGGATTCTCATTGTCTTCTCCCGGTTGTATTGTTGTTTGCCAAAGTGAGCGGATAAGGAGTAAACGTTCAGACTTTTACCTGGACTGGTACGAACGATCAGTCTATGGGGTTAGGAGGTCCTGTTTACGAAAGTCATGCATATAAACGGATTGTTTAAGAACCTATTTTGGTTATCAGCTATCAAGGGAATGAATCCCCTTGATATAGCGCCTCTGCCTGAGGATTAAATTTTAATCGATGGACCACGTGGCACACAAGCATCCTAGTCCACACAATGAATCTGCTATTCGCACAAACGATATTCACAAATATTTCGTTATGGTCGTTTATGATTCACATTTAGCTACTTAACACTTTTTTATTCCCATTTTGTGTACGTTCTCCCAATTTACCCTGAGGCTTATCGATTATGGAAGTTTCGTCCTGTCTAACTGATCTTAGGTCATCGACTGTGGGGCAGTTGCTATTGTTATGTCCTAGGGGAGATTAAATTACAGGTAACTTCCGAGGACTATTAATGAGTTAATATTCTTACTGCATAATTATTCAATAGTTAGATTATATATATTTATATCCCTCTTATTATAAGCTTTATTATGACCTAATTTATTATTATACGATTTACTGTCCCTAAATTGTGCTCAGTTTATTAACTACTGCCTCCCACGTTCACGGCCACTTTTTGGCTTTATTGCGCACAAATGTTATTTCCTATTTTATGGTGCATTGCGGTCTGTTTGTTTGATATATAAACACATTATGTTTGAAATATATGATTCGCATAGTGGAAGCTGGTATTGTTGTTCTGGATTCAAGTGGACGGGCTAGGCGGACATAGGACCAATTCGGACGCTAGGCTGCTCATACCGGTCAAAAGTCATTGGTTAGGCAAAGTGCTGAGATTGTATAAGTCGTATTTTGATTGGCGCATAAATCACGTGATAAAAAGCCGGACATAAAGTCATAACAGCTATAGAAATCGATAACTACGATCATTATTGTATTTCGTATTTGATAATATTCTCGTTCTTTAGTGTTTTCTCATATCGATAATTCTTTTCAACATCATTTCATTTAACCCCGCTATTACTTTTAATTATAGTAACACGAACGTTTTAATTATCTTACTGCTTTCAGATTAAAAGCTATTGTTAACGTACAAGCCTTTCTATTTGCATACACAATCTTAGATCTTTACTGCTTACATTATATAATCCAGTATCATAACTTTTCTATTACATCATCATATGTATTCTTTGCTCATACGTCCTTAATCTTGAAAGTTTTTTTTACACATATACGATTTTACATGATAAATCCATTCACTGAACTTCGTGTTCTTTTAATTCATAAGATAATACCAACTGCTTTACCGTTTCTATTTGTCTAACATCCATTGTGCGTTCGAAATTGTCTCTTATTCTAGTGGTAAAAATTCGACAATCTTATTAAGTCGGAAATCCAAAGAGTTAATGAAAAGACGAAGACCAAAGAACACATTGAGTCAGGAATCGGAGGCAGACATCTAAAGAACAAATAGATACTGAATATATAACTGGGAAGGATTACCCAGGACAGAGTTGGATGGAGAATGTTGCTGAGCGGCCTATGCTCCTCCATGAGTAACAGGTGTAAGTAAAACCGAAACAGTGAATTATTATGTTCTAATATGAGATATAATTTTGGAGGTTAGTTCTGACAATATGTTTTTATAGGCATCAATCAAATAAATGTTCTTTTTCATTCAAGTGATTTAGAATGAAAGATATTTGTTAATATTACATACTAATTATTGTTTTATTGTTTCATAGATAATTTAAATGATGATATGTGCACTGGTTCGCCAGATATTTCAATCAACTTTTTCAGTAAGTTAACTTTTTTCAATGTGGCCAGATCTGATTCTACCTCATATAATACAGCTAAATTTGAAATCATTACATCATGTAGACAGAATCGACGACATCGTGCATTGAACATGAATGATGTAGAAAATCCTGTAGTTGTTGAAGCAGTTGTAATAACGCCTAAATTGTTTATTGGTTGACTAGTTAGTCCAGTTGTTGTTAGATCCTCCAACACTTCAATTGATTTTGATAGTCGTCCAACATATAAAGAACAAATAGCTAAATTATTGGCCGCCTGAATTGTGGAATATGAATGAAATGAGGAAGATCGTATAGCAGAAAAACTGAACATAGACAACTTACGTTAAAGTGACTGTTAACTTCAATTTACGACTGTAAATGAATATGTCAATCTTATAAACTATTTATATATTCACCTAAGATGATGAGACCCATTGAAAACAGCAATTTAGTAAAAGAAATGGATATACATTTCTTTGAGGCTAAATGATTCTTAGATGCCATCGTACAACGTTAAAATCGGCATATAGAAAGTAATGATCAATAAAGTTATCGATCACTGTCAGCTAACAGGAACATATGCTGGGAAGCTTCCTACATTCGATAGATCTATTTCGAACGTAGCTTTATTGATTGAAAAAAACTGGCACAGTCAGTCCGTTAAATGCAATGTAAAACGTTGGATATATGTACATCGGTCCAAATATATGCTTCAGAATGAGTCGGTCTTCTATTGAGCTTCTCTAACAGAGGCTGATTGCAATGTATTCTATTTGGGTCTACCGTTGAGTCGGTTGCCGTATCAGACGAATGCGTATATCGTGCTCATAGTTGGTGCTTGCTAGAAATAAACAATTGTCCGAGGATAGCTGCAGCAACCAGTCACCGTTATATGTTTGGTTTACTCACTCAATCTTTCCTATTTTTTCACGGAATTTCCTCCGATTAGCCCTTTTATTTGACTACTTATTTATCAATGTGCTTATACAGTTTTTAATTCTTGTTTTAGTGTTGATGACACTGGGGCTTATAAAAAAGGGGAACAACAAATATTTGTTACATAGTATTAAAGTTTACTCGTATACAGACATGTGTACGCTATGATTTCTCTCCACCCATCTAACAGCTTTACGCTATTTTCATAGCCCAAATCACCTAGCAATCTTGGTATATCCAAGTTCGACGTAAGTTCTAACTTGACCAGTAGCGATCGAGTAGAGAACTGTCTATTCGGTACGTTTGTCAATGATAGAGTTTGGCATAGAATATCACGATCTACAGAGTAGAACTCCACCATAATATAAAGGAACACAACTGTAGTCAGACATCGAAAACTATATCTATGTGCCAAGAATCTGCTGAACGTTGAGTATTGTCTATAAATCGAGGTCTACGTCTGAAACTAGTCTAACATTCTCACATTCGCTCTTCATAAGCTCTAGTTAGGCGTCAAAGTATCATTGTAGATAATATTATAGACATTAAATTAGTCAAACTGATTTTGCTGTAATTGTCACAAAAAAATTTTTCCTTTCTTTTAAATTGGGACGATCAGCGATCGAAACCTGTCAGATGAGATTACGCACAGTTCACAGATTTTAGCTAAGGGCTCAGATCAAGTAACTGCTAAGACTGGACCACCATCCCCAAAAATCTCACGCTAGTCTATCGGGCTTCCGCTTGTTATAGATTGCTTATTGTTTCATTAAGTTTTGGAGGACTTGCATCAATTTGCCAGTAAGATCGTTAGGATACAGTGGATAACTGAAATGCGATTGAAGGCCAATTAAACTGTTTCCTAAAGTGTTATGTCCATGACAACTAGAACTGATGTACGTACGTACGAAGTTCTACGTTGTTACTGACTGAAGACGTGGACAATGCATGCTTCAGAATGGGTGACAGTCTTATATCGAGCCTCTTCAACGATGGCTAACGGCAATGTGGACAATTTAAGTCCATTGTCCAGTCAATTATATGGGTCGCAAATTCAGATGATGCTTTATTTATAATTAAAGTTTGTGCTTGCCGAAAAGACGGTTATCTGAGCACAATGACAACAGGCTGTCACCATTATCAGTGTACTGAGACGCGGCATCGTAAGATCCGTCCCAAGTGCTTTTCAGTTTGCTTTAGTTTACATATTTCGGTACAAAATCACCTACCACTATCACCATATCCAAGCGTTTTGATTTTTGACGGAGTCTAGAAAGCTTCTCATAAAATTCGTCTATTATTTCATCCGAACTGTGATTAGTGGGGTCGTAGGCAGAGATGACGAGGAAAGTGTGATATCTTATCTTTCAGAGTTCCGACTATACTGCTCAGTCGGACAAACCATCAGTCTAGTAGAGCCTGCTCTGCTTTTCAACTTAATGCTATACCTACACCAGTTAGTTCATAGGAAGTAGAAATGGAGTCGCGGCGTACATCGATTGCGCAGAGTTCAGGAGTCCTAGGCAAGGAAGCTTGTTGTTCTATCTAACACAGGGTCCGAACATCAAGATCTCCAACATGTGATCGGCTTCTAGAAACCAAGATCAACATTTCGTCAACTCCAGTCATTAGCATTGGTGGCACGTGGTGATAAAGATAAGTGACAAGGGTTATATTTAAGGATATAGCAGCTCACGTGCAATTGAGTTCGTTCACATTTAATTTGGTTAAGCCCTTTTGTTAACTTATTTAACGGACAGAGTCATCCGTACTATAACAACTTATATCATTGTACCTTTATTATTGTTGCACTTGTATGAATATGTATGCCTGAGCATTGCTTACTGCCTACGCATATACATTCATTCTACTAGCCTTACTATTAGTCGCTTAATTGATTCGATGATTAATTCATTTCACTATGTATATATATGTACATTTTTATCATGTTCATTGACTCGCTGTAAATACTGGCTGTTTTGGAGGAACAAATAACTTCTACCACACCCTCATAGAGTCGGTAGTACAACTTCTTCCACACACCTTGGTTTGCTGTTTTTAGTCTTACCGTTCTCCAAACAGCCTGTCTGGAAAAGTAGGAGCTGCGGTTATGGAAAGAACATACTGTCTATTATAGGTCTAGCCACATGAGTTTTTGTTTTAATAATTTGCATAAGAGTACTGAACTAACGACAAATCTATGCCATTTTTAATATAAATGTTCTAAACAACAGAGGAGTGAAATTTGGTCGTCATAAACAATCACGGAATCAGTTTGGTACGATGAAAGTGTCCTGTTGATGCTAATTTAAAACACAATGGTCCAGAAAACATCACAAGTCTTTAGACATCAGATACGTGGTTTTACTCACAGGTTACATGACTTAGAGTCTTCCCTAAGAAATATTTATCCTTATTGCAGATTTATACTTTCACAGTACGAAATTGACAATTAACACAGAAGTCTAACTTAGTGTGTTTTCCATAAAAGTGAAAACACATTTACTACCACAATATGGTTTGAAGTACAGTGGCACTCACCCATGAGATTTGATAAACTACGGAGAGTGAAGTCTGAATGTGTCCTAGTTTCTACTGGTGCGGAAGCTAGATGCATACCAATCAATTAACTGAGTTCCGAAATGTGAACCGTAGTATTCAGTAGCTGATATGAAAGTATCATAGACTAGAGAGCTCTGTCTTCGATGCCGCGATGTCTCGTTGGTGTGTACTTCAAAGGACTCCCAAGTTGGTCATAAAAACTTTATATTTATCAACGTAGAAGATCGCACATATTACCTAGGATACCAAATCACTGATTTATTGTCTTTAATTGGTCTCTCAGGACAATAACACCTTTAGATGCGTAAGTAAATATGAAAACAGTAAAAATTGTTTTGGATGACGAATTAGTTTAGCTTTTATTAATTGGGAAAATGATATATTTCATCGGAGGAATTTCAGTCACATGACTTTAGACACACTTTTCCAAGAACACTCTGCGAGACTATAATTTACGGACGAACCAATCAGATTTGGGACAACAGGTCTTGGATTGTGGCGCTTAATTCGTCCATCTATTTGGCTAAATAGAGTTTTGGTATTTCAGCTTATGTCAGTTCGTGATGAAAACTCTAAATCTAATTCCTCACGCTGGTTTATAACCATCATTTAGTTCTAGTTAATAGGTGGACATCCTCAACATCACTTTGGCGTCGCTCAAAGGTCATCCATAAATTATAGTCTCAACGAACACTCAAACAAGTGAATTATTTAACCGTGTCTACATGATTTATTCTAGTTTATCTATGACAAAGCTTTAATTTTTGAAGTCATGGGTACTACGTTTGGGCCTCAGTAAGGATAACAACTTACTATGGTTTAACGTAAATTCTGCTGGAGAGTCTCAAACAAGAAGAAACACGCGTTATGGGCTTTACTATAACACAAGTATCAAATGAAAAAGATAAAAATAAATGAAAACAGGCGCTCACTGCCACATTTGTAGGATCTAATTGTAGAACAGTTTCAAAGAACATTCTCGCTTCTTCATATTCCCCTTTACCAATCGATAACAACGCACTAAAAAATAAATATATACCACTATCGTATAGCTATTTAACGAAGAGAAATATATACTTTACAGCAATTATCTAAAGTATAAATTAACATCGCCTGGAGCCCGTCAAGGGTTATTCATGATTCAAAGTCTGAGTAAATGAAAAGTGATGGATGTTAAGTTAGAAATCTCACCTTGTAAACCAGAATCCCACTATAGGAAAGCTAATCAGAAAAACATGTAAGCCAATTAAACTTAACACTGAAGAGTATTTATACAGAAGAATTATTACGTCTTAGGGTAAAAGCTGAGACTCTTCGGAAACTAATGGGTCGACGGCTTTTTTAATAACCAGGTCAACAATAAACATACAGATAAAAATATAATAACAGTGTGGAAGAACGTAATGATCACTCAAACAGTGACGGAAATTATGAGATAGAAATTGGCTCTCCTTAGAATAAGTGAAACCTATTGGGCATAATCTGTACAGAGATATGTGCTGTGAGAGATGAAGCTGTATTATAGTAATGAAAGAAAAAACGTGCTACGCATATAGCTGGTTGTACTAATAATCTTCAAAGCACAAAAGTGAGCATAGAATAAGATATCCTAGGAACCTGGATCATCGATGCCTGTTATGAAACAAAACGGGAAAGAAATAATGAATCTCATGCAACGTTACGCTTCCACTGATGATAGCAGCAAAGATAGTAAACACCAGTTTTATGAGCCTTAAGTTACTCGTAGAGAAAACGACTGAGGAAAAAGCTTCACAATCTTGATAGAGGACTGAAAAGTTGAGATCTGGATGGACAATACTGAGTGAGAATGAAGTAAGAAATGATATAGACTGGTATAAATATTAGAATAACAAAGAACCATCAAACCAATAGACTTTCAAATACAACACTACAAGATTTTCCAACGCACGCTTAAATTGCAAATTTTTATCTGGATATCCATACTTTATATTCTAATTCACTCACCACGTCAAGTTTGACATGCATGTTGTCGTAAAAAGTAGCGAATAGGAAGGTTCAAACTTTTCATGTAATGGGTCATAAACAGTACTGTTGTATAATTAGCTCAGCCAAATTGTTATTTCATTTAATCAGTCTAGTGCTATCCAATTAACTGTGGTTCTAATTGGTAGATACACGTACATATTCATGAATTTTATAAAAATGCTTAATTGTATTTTTTTTTTACAACCCGCATATCGAATGTTTATAACTGTGTAGTTTCAACAGAAGTCCGAGAGGATTTTTAACGTGAACTGAGGCAGATCCTTTGCCAAGATTGACCTAGCTGATACATATCTACAGATCGAGGTAGATGAATCATCCTGAAAATCAATTATAATTAATGCACATTGAGGTCTATGTCATTAGCTCGCCTTCCATTTGAAGTCAAGTGAGACCTCGGCACGTTTCAGCGAATTGTGGATGTAATGCATACAGATATATCAGGTATCTTAGCTTACGGGAATGATATTATAATTTTTGGTACAACCGCAGAGGAATTATTTAACCGTCTGGATATGGTACTCTTACATATTAAAGATTATGGTTCTAAACTAAAACAAGATAAACGTAACTTTTCCACCAATCAATCGCAACGAAAAATGATGTGATCCGGAGAATATTAAGTCTGTAAAGCAAAGAACATCATCATTCAGCCTTAACTCCCTACAACCATTCATGGGATCAGTTAATCACTATGCATCGCTTAATAAATTCTTGAGCGAAAAGACGAAATGGAACTGGTCTCCTTAGTGTCAAAACATCATTAAATATATTAAGGAAGTGCTGCCAATCAATATGCTTCTAATATACTTTAGCCCTAACTTCAAAATAATTGTTGCCTCAAATGCATCGAACTGGGGACTCAAAGCTGGTATTTTTCACATTTCCCAGGATGTCTACCCAAAGGTTATTGATTATGCATCCGAGAAAAACAGCCAAACAGAATAAATACTAGTAATCATTTTTTTCAGTCGAAAAGTTTTGTATTATCTATGGGCGACATTTCATAAACCTGTTCTATCAATCTGGTTCACACAATGTATTCCAGTGGTAGACTAAATTTCTTCTTAGTAATAATTTTACTATAAAATATACGTCAACGACCAGTCTTGGACAGACTGATGGATTATCAAAACTAATAGACCCGTCGATAAAAGTTGTGTTGTTGCCGCAATATTAGTTGAAGCAGAAGTAAACCGAGTTGTATCACATTTGACCTGTGTCTTGCTAGTAACGGTGAATATGCTCGAGGATGCTACACTGGCAGACTGTGAACTATAGCAGGTGCGTTAAGTGCACGATGGTCGAGTAAACAAAGTCAACAATTATTTATTAGAGAATTTTCGACGGCGTGATGCATTATCTATTACCAATTCATGCTCGCTGTTTGAAGGGCGTCTAGATGTCCAGACCACCCTCAGATGGCAAGTATTAAAGCAACTCCACCAATATCATCCTGGCGTGGGACACATAAATATGTTATCACTCAGCTATGTATACTGGCCAATGATAGATAGGGTCATTGAGAATGTAGTAAACAAGTGTCTGCAATATGTTCAAGCAGTGTGCAAGGAAGAAATAAATGAACACGATAAGGCTTCATTGATGAATATCAGAAAATTTACTTATGAAAATTCTGTAGAATCAGTAATTGAAGTTTATAGCCCAGTGGAAATTCCGCATTAGGTAACGATCTGTCGAAAAGTGCTTTAGCCGTTTGCAAATCCCCAAACTAATAAAACATGAAGAAAACAAGGCGTAAAAATGGAAGAACATTGTATGAGAACCAATTAATGACTTATATGTGTGATCATTTGTAAATAACGATGAGCATTTTCTGAACAAAAAACATTTCTTTGTGTTACTTGATACGAATTCGTTTAGTTAATCTTTAAAGTAATTTCCATCAGTGAAGACTGGACCTATTATCGCCTAAATGAGACAAGTTTACATCATTATGGATTAATGTTTTTAAGACGTGAATTAGTAATTGAGAAAAGATGTGGTTTTTGTTTACTTGTTTTAGCTCAAGAACATGGGATAGTGATGTATGTAACACAAGTGGAATATGAGAAACATTCAGAAAACTGAAAATGTCATGTTAATCACAATAGAAGAGTAACCGATTAGTGACAACATACTATATACAACAATAGTAAATATAAAGAGAATTCTTTATCATCCTTATGGGTAATGGAAGATGCTGATAAAAAGTGTGATTCACCTTAGCAAGTTACCATAGCTGTATCGCTCAGTATAGAAGGTAAATTATTTCACAAACTAGTATAATAACACAAGGGCATAAGTGAACAATTTAACCAACATATCTTAGTAGAAATAGTTAAAACTGTATCTATTCAATGGCTGATCTTCAAAAAGTAAGTTTAAACGTATCATATGACAGACACCACATAGTACTGGATTCTGTAATGCTTGGAACGTATTTATGATAGTTGAAACATCTGTTCTTTGTTTTTGTTTTGAACAAATGCCCTGGTACGGCCGAGAGTGGGGAGAGTCCGCTCTCCCTCTCGAAATGCTCTCACACGGCCACGCGTATATAGCTTCTGTCAGGGAAGTCCTACTCACTACCTTCTCGTGGCGAGGGTGTTGTTTACGAAAATGAGAGGACGAAAAGCGAATGTCCGGCGCTTTAATCGGATCCCAAACCAATGGTGCACACGGGTTCCAGTATCCTGAGGGAACGAATGGCGTATGAACCAATTGTTGGTCACCGGCTTCCATGGGACTACATCTTCTTACGATGCTCCACTGCCTTATGGATCAGGCCTACAGGTCGAAGGCTCGGGGAGTGGCCCCTTAAGGAAGCCACCTGCTTCGGTTTGGGCACCCGGGCAGTATCACAGCCCTCACACATATCGAATGGGATTTGTGTGGCGCATATGTATTTGGTGCCTCCTTGTACCAATGTCTATGTGTTAAAATAAATAAGTTAAATGTACGTTTGTTCTGAGTATCTGGGTCCCACTTCCGTCAACCCAGATATAGAAGAAACGATTTAATAAAAACGTTTTACTTAACTAGAATAAATAGGGCTTTCTCGACAGCTGGGTTATTTCATTGTGCTTATCATTTTAAGGTTGCAGATCTCCTCATAGAGCTAAGAGCCCTTTTATTTTTTACTACTGTATTTATCACCAATCTTCATTTAGCATGTCATGTTGGCGGGACATTCCAAGGGTTATGAGAATCTGAAAGGTGGAGACAATTTAACAACGAGCGTTTTGTGATAAGAATGTCAAAAGGCTGTAGTATGCCTTAATCAAAATAAGTCAGTAATAAATGAGGTTACTCAATCTTTCCTGTCTTTTATTCGAGAATATAGTGGGCTTTCGAAACATTCCAATCAATTTCAAACGAAACTACTCTATTCGCCCATTTTTGAATGAGATTATAGCTAAAGCTGCTTAACCCTCAGTACAACAGTCCTAATGGTAAGCCGAGTCGATACTGCAAATGCTCTCCTTATTAAAAAAAAAACACCTACCTGCAAATGAACACGACCAAGTAAACTACAGAATCCTCTAAGCACAACCTGATTATCACTGCATAGATGTGTTAATTGACGTACTATATTTAGTGCTGATTGATAATCTAACTTATGTAGAAATATTGATAAACAGCTGGAAAGCACCCGAATTTTACGAGCAGTCCATAAATTTAATGAGGCTAGATACAAAAGGAAACAATCATATTCTGAGATAAAGTTCGACAATTACTCTTTAATGGTACACAAGTGACAACAGGAGCCCTAATTGGAAATTTACAAGTTAAACTGCTGATCAATGAGGTAGAAGTTTACCTAACACAGATTATTCTGTCACGTAGTTTGATCCAGGCTGTATTTCGAAGTACAATATCGTTGAGTAGTTAGGCCAAAGTTAAAAATCATCCTCACTGTATGACTAGAGCACATTTATGATATAACTTACATTTGTTGTTTAATTTAATCTCTCTATGAATTCGAATGGTAAGGTCATTCATAATAACAGTAACAATTAAACAACGAAAAATAAGAATAATGTTTGAAAATATGGACTACTGAAATCTAACTCATTCAGTGAATAAGGTAGTGTTCACTGCAAAACTTGGAGTTCCTGAGTTCAAGACCATGTGCACTCGTTAGTGCTCACCAGTGAGGAGTTTGAAGCTCGGATGAAAGTTTTTTATCTCTCCCATTCTTTCTCGCTGATTCTCCAGTGTAATGTGTCAGTCCGTTACGAAAACTGGCTTCAAGATTGCACATAAATCAATAGGATAATTACCACACTCTTGAATATTTTGGATCCATTAGGAACTGTTTTAGAATAATGTGACAGGTGACTATAAATCACAATCAATATAAAGTATCATAGCTGAGTATATATGACGATATATATATATATATATATATATATATATATATATATAGTTCATTGTAGTATAAAATATTCATACCTTGTCGGTAAACAAGATCTGGTTCACTTATCGAACCATCCTCTCTAAAGCCTTTCTCTAAATTACTTTGAATCTAGAGTTAGAAAAAAGAAACTAGACTGAAAATTAATTTCTAAAAAATTATGACAAATAATGGGGTAAATCGCACAAAACTGCACTAGTTAGACTGCATAATCTCCATCATTTACACCACCTCACTCAGGAAGTAAATAATTCTTAATACGTCGCACCAATAACTCAACAACTTAACAGGTTTTAACGTCACAACTGGGTCTAGCTTTTCTCCTAACTATTCACGATCCTAATGCTTGAAAGTGTCTAGACTGATTAAACCCCACATATTTTAAATTAATGGATAATAAAAACTGCTTTGATTACTGTTCGTGAAAGAAGAAGAGACGAAACAAAGTTTCTAATAGTAGCGATCTTAGATAGGGGATCCCAAGATCATAAGCTGATCATACTATAAGTATTCAACTTTAAAGAATCCTGTTACACACTTAATTTAGTTTTAACAGAAAGGTTGTATTCTGAAACGTCACACATGCATGATTCTAAAGTGAGCACATAAACACAAGTTGGATGAGGACAGAATACCATTATAGAAATTCTCAGAAGGGTAACGTAATGAACAACACTATAGAAATTTTCAGTCAAGTGAACGTGGGTTATCCATAAAATGAAGATATGGTTAAGATTGATAGTGGCTAGCAGTGGAAACCGGGACTCGAGTTTCTTCCTATTTGGGACCTGGTATCTGGACGTACCTGCATTCCAGAGTTAATGTTCACTCTGGGACTCGAACCCAGTATCGTTCGCTCCAAACGCCCTCGCGTTATCCACTTAGCTACTGAGTCCTGATAGCCACTTGCTTGTGCAATGGGGCGAAGTTTAAATTCACTTAGTATTGTTTACTTGAATCTTACCATTGATGTTTAGGACTGCAACTGATCAGTAGCTAAGTGAGTAACGCGATGGTGTTTGAAACGAACGGTACTAGGTTCGAGTCCAGGAGTGGACATCAACTCTGGAATGCAGGTATACCCAGCTGATGAGTCCCAAATAGGACGGAACGCGAGTCATGCATTCCACTACTAGCCACTAACCATCTTTGCCTAGAATATTTAAGAATTAAGGCAATGCACACAGTATGCATAGATGCCAATAAGAGACTGGTCAATTGCACTCTTAAACATCAATGGGAAGACTCAGGTAAACAATACCAAGTGAATTTGAAGATGTGGTTGTAATATATTTAGCCAGCAAGGTTCAACAGAGTGAATTTTTGATGAACTTATACTCTTCCTTCAGTAAAATCATTTCTCACTAACCAAGATTCAAAACCGTGTCAAAGACTAAATGCCGACCAAGTGTACAACTTTTTAGTAAAAAGACTTAGTTATTCAAACTAAACTGGTAGTGATTCAAATACATACTTGAGAAAATGAATTACTTAAGTGATTAATACCAATAAGTTTACACGCATACATTTAAACAGTATAAATGTTTTTATGATTTGGACATTGCTCCAGTTAGATCACAAATGACTTTTAACAATGGGTGGGTATTTTGACTGTTTGTGGACAAATTTAGTGGTCACATTCTCGGAAATAATCAACAAATCATGTAGTAAACAGGGTTGCAAGATCTATATCAAAATTTTCGATAGTCTAGCCAATGAGAGGAATTTCGGATTATGATTCGGACAACTAGACTCTTTGAGATGATTTCCAGCGAGTATTCTGTAATCAGTCATCGTTATCTTCGAAGGACTACATATATACGATTTCACTACTGCGTAAGTAATGCCGAGATCCAGTAACATTTATAGTATACCATATATAATTTCTCAAATAATTATAATCTTGAAATACCCTATTCGGCCACATAGATACTTTTCATGCATGCTGCCCCCTCCAAATGTTATTCAAACCACACATTGCTTTCCTGACACTAAAAAGCTGAGACAATCAGTTTACGATAGAGAACCGCAGGAAGAAAGGTTGATGTGCTGGGCCGATACTTATAGATTTATCGTGAATACATAGGCAAGGTCTTACATACCGTGCAACTCAGTGACTTGAGGTGTCATCAGGTATGACTCAAAATGAACCTGACGAGTTTCCTGAAGGTTTCTGCTAGTTTTATTACAAACAGTAAGACTTGTAAATAAATGAAATCTACCTTGGTTTTGTTCTTTATCGAACTCGATTATTCGGTATATCTTATTTACGCTTTTGAATTGTATCTCTCTAATTCGTCATGATATTGTAAGTTCCTTTGACGTGGTGTATTTCTGACACAGTAAGTATATACACACGTATGTGTACTTATCCATCTAATGTATGAGGAATGTAGAGATACTGCACGGTGAAATAAAAGTAAATACAGTTGTTATTACTAGACTTTAAGTCGAAGCATAGTTAAGGGGTCAACAATAAAGACTAAAATAAGTAGCACTTCATCAAAAAATTTCAACCAATTGCAAATAAACGTACTCGACCAATAATAGCTAATAAGTAATATAGACGATCTAATGCTTCATTTGTACGATTTAAATTAAATGGTAATTCAGCATGAAGTAGTCTTAAAGAAAATGGAATGATAGAACCTAAGAGGAGAGAAAAACAAAAATGATCAAAAGTGCAGTTTTAAAGTAATAAAAAGTACAAGAGCACAAGTGATATAGATTCACTTCAACAGCACTAGTCTTTACGTTTGAGCGAATGATAACGATCTATGAACTCTGTTCACAACCTCGTCTAGAACGTGAGTAGTACAATATTTTCGAAACATTTCCGCAAATTGACATTTAGTAATATTTTGTATTTGATTAATATTGTGTGAGTTAGAATTAGAGTTAATTAGGTGATTACAATTCACTCACGACTGAGCAAACAATCAAGAACGTACCACGAGAATAATTCAGACTCATATGGTAAAACATGAAGATGATTGGAATTATTAGGATTACAACTGATATGATTCATCAACCAGACTATTAAAATCAACCCAAATTATTCAAGTACCAAACGTAGTATCGCTCATGCTCAACAGCAATTTCATGTTAGTAACACTAAGGTTGAGTAAGGTGTTTTTGACTAGAACTGTTATGGATGCAGAATAATCAACCAATCATTATCATGTTAAGTCTAATGATGTCCTTAGACTTTAAATGTACATTTCCTATTGGCCATTATTTATTTCACTCGTTAAATACTGTACAGATGTTGTTTTCTATTTTTATGGTACGATGTGGTCTGTTTGGTTGGTATATAAATAGAGTATGTCTGAAATACAACGATCCATATCTCAGAGGCTGTGACTTGTGTTCTGGACTCAACTGGCTGGGTTAGACAGCGAAGCAGGGCCAATCGGGACTCTAGGTCGTCCGTGCGTGTTTTACGTGTCACTGAATCGATCAATAAAACGCTGCCCATCTAATCTGCAGTCACCCGTTACAACAAGAACCAAAGACATCATTGAACGTACAGGGACCAAATAAAACAATAGTTCCGAAAGAGTGAGTACAATTCATAAATACTACTTTAACACCATTGATAGCGGATATAGTCTGTTGATACATCAACGAGCTAAAAAGACTGAGATTATCTCATAATGTGGTACAGTATGCTGAAATACAATTATTTTAGATAAGCACCAAATGATAACAATTTTAACCTGCAGATGAGTTGAGAAATCATGCCAGTTACTTACCTGTTATGAATTGAATAGGGAGTGGTAACCTATTCGTTAAAGCACTTAGATTTCAGTTAACAAACTAAAGGTTCGAACTTCACCCCAGCTACCCCACTGGACAGTTGGATAGCGTTACATAGAAACTGTGACAGAAAAACTCTTTACGTGAATATGTGCCTCGTTAATGAGCTACATTAATTGCCATTGTGCAGATTTGTAACCGATAAAAAATTCATTCCTATCGAATTTAAACGGTAAAATAATATAAAACGAAAAACAACGCAAATGTAGCATACACATATATATTGGAATGACGGAGATTCGCAGCTCAGGTCAGCGGTTTTGGTGGAGTTGTGTTCTCTGAGCTTATTGTTAACAAGATCTTTAGTGTCCACTTCATGTAGAGGTGAGCTAGTCCAAAAATTTCATATCAGCTTAACCCCACATATATTACAGAGAAGTAAACAGTTTAAAAAAAGACTGAAAAGAAGAACACCTTCATCGTACCAGGAGACAAACGATGGACAACAGTATTTATGAATGAAGAAAATTGCATTCAGAAAGTTGAGGACCTAATCAAAGATAACAATGCATACGAAACACTAGTGAAAAATTCTATTAAAGAATAGACAGTCTAATGAATAAAACTCTAGGAAAACTCGTCAAAGGCGGATAAACTACAAACCAACACCAGTGACAAAGAAGATATGATGGACTTATTTTCCTTGATTTTACAGAAGACCGAAGTTGCACAAACCCAATGTACCATTTTAACCATCCATGTCAACACCAGAGATACCAACCTACCATATGCTAAAAAAACTCTACACGATAGTAGAACATCTGACTGGATTGTACAATCATTCGGTCAACTCCTCAACACAGTTCTGAAACAAGATCAAAAATTTACAACTGACCAACGACAAAGTAACAATGACCTTGGATTTTGCGGTTCATTTCACTTTAGTAAAAGCGAAGCTCATTACAAATACAGTATCAAGACTTCTCAGCAACGATGAACTCATAGAACACAAAAATATAGTACTCGAAATTGACAGAATTCACAGATCTGTTTCTTGAACGTACTTTTAATTCAGTAGTCAGATTTACTGACAAATAAAAAAGACTACAATGAGGTACCCTATATCAGGACCAATCACAGATTATTATTATTATTATTTTAACACATAGATATTAGTACAAGGAAACACCAAATACATATGCGCCACACAAATCCCATTCGATATGTGTGAGGGCTGTGATACTGTCCGGGTGCTCAAACCGAAGCAGGTGGCTTCCTTAAGGGGCCACTCCCCGAGCCTTCGACCTGAAGGCCTGATCCATAAGGCAGTGGAGCATCGTAAGAAGATGTAGTCCCATGGAAGCCGGTGACCAACAATTGGTTCATACGCCATTCGTTCCCTCAGGATACTGGAACCCGTGTGCACCATTGGTTTGGGATCCGATTAAAGCGCCGGACATTCACTTCACCAATCACAGAAGCTGTAATGAAAAGATTTGAAGCTACAACTTTGTCAATGATCAAGCCAAAGATTTGAATACGTTATGTAGATAAAAAATTTGGTATCTTCAAAAGTAACAAACCTAAGAATACTCATAAGTTAACCGACAACATATTCGATAATGTTACAATTACAAAGGATATGGGAAACAAAATATTATTCCTGAACGTTCTAATCAACGGAGAAAAACAAGTATGCAGGGAACCAAGTCATACAGTAACAATCTGGCAACATGCTAACAGTTGTGTCCAGACAATGACCAAAAGAGTCTAAGCCAACTGCAGCACTCCCACCACATGAAAAATTTAGGAAAAGCATCTGTTAGTCTTTCATAAGAATGGCATTCCCGAAAAATTCAATAAAAAGTGCCTAATCAATAGATATATCGTTAAGTAACCAATCCCGGAAACCGAGAAACAAGTTGTGCTACCGTATGTGAAAAATATCTCTGAAACTGTCATAGAGATTCTGGAGTCTTTTGAGATCGATGACGTTCAGAAACTAACACAACCACACTATGGACGCCAAAAGACACAACAGTAAAAGAAGGAAAACTCAATACCTTCTACAATATAAGTTATACTGTGAAGAATATATTAAAAAAAGTGGACGCCTCCTTCACCTACCCATAAATAAACAGTAAGGTGATACGATATATTATTGATGATATCAGTGCATGCAAATGATTATGTACATAGAGACTATTAGAGAAACGACGAAATCAATCACAAGGCCAGAGATCAACGGCAAAGATAGTCAAACAGAAAACCGAGAGCAGGTGAAAACAGAAAAATCAACCAAGACAGGCAATCACAAGCAAAGCCATCAGGACGAGCTGACATAGCACTTGTGAAGTAACTTCTACATGAAATAGGCGCTTAAGATGTCAAGAATGGAATTGAAAGCTCTGCAACTAAATCATTTAGCTCAATGAACACAACACCCCTATATATATATATATATATATATATATATATATATATATACTTCAGTACCTGTCCGTCCAGGATATCTTTGGGGAGAATATTCAAAATAGAAATTCGGTGCTTCCATGTTATGAAAAGTAGCAAATTCATGTTCAGCCAATTTATAATTTTGCGTACGAACTAATAAGGCCAATCGACACAACCAAATCTAAAACAAGCAATCAACAAGAACAGTAGTGGTTAATTATTATTTTCATAACATTAATACATGGAGAAAAATATGCAATCTATCTTGTAATTCAAAAATTCCCAAGTCATATGTCGTTATTTATTTACAACACATTGGCTTGTTACACAACTATCAGTCGTTCAGCTGAACCAAATCACTAGCCTCAGTCAGTAGACAACGCATAGTATGGCAGTAATTGGAACAAAATGAGTGCCATGCGCTCACGTCATCACCGTAAACATATAAAAATGAATTAATCAGATGAATGATGGACTAAATTGAGTCCAAACACATGTTATACCTCATGATTTTCTATACATTATTATCACTGAATGGAATAAATTCTTCGGAAATAGTAATTACACACACCGCTATCAAAGGTTTTGAGCTAAAAGAGACCATATTTGCAAGTATGAAATATAACTAAACATTCCGTAGTAATACACACCAAATTTTTTACGACCATACAACAATTATGATGATGCAATATATGGCTCAGATTGCAAAAAGAAGTCTTGAAATGTTTTAGAAGGATTGAATTTGTTCTCCTTACTAGTATTGACAGTCAAACGACTATCCATATATATGAACCTTTACATTATTTTCATAGCCCCACTATCGAAGATGATTGAAGGCAAATGTTCTCGCCAGTTTCGTGGAAATAACAGCTTTCGACAGTGTTTCATCGAAAGAATTGTCAATAAAGTGAGTCAATTTATTAAAGATTCTTTATAAAAATGATATAAATCGTACCAGTGGAATTGCTTGCATCAAATGTTATTTGTTATGGCTGTCCAACTTATCTATTTTAACCTAACTGTCAGAAACTCTTGAAGAAGACTCATTAAATCTAAAACTTCATTGAAACTATGAACCGATAAATGTTAGATCACTCATTGAAAACCTGAAAGCACTCGACGGCTGTGTCAACGACCTCAACCCCATACTGTAAATCTAAAATGTTGGTTCAGAAGGAACTTGTGTTCATGCTTAACCTTAAAACAAGTAGTGAAATTGTTAATTTGATAACTTTGGTTATCGTTGGAGCCTCAATTGAGTACATGGTACCAATCTATAAAGTCGGAGACCGCTGGTTTGAGATGTGTGAAATATACACTTCGTGAAATAATAGTAAACTGTGGTAGAAATCCCTAGATAATTGCTTAAAATCAGTCAACGTGGTATAGTTGTCCTCACTCTCTATCTTCCTCTCTATATATTGGGTTTTAATATTATTTCATTTCATTGAATCTTTAAATCAAGTAGTTTCTTGTTAACTATACTTCATACACTTAGTATTCACTAGCAATGATATTATCTCAACTTTTATACCATAAATTTTGTTAATTCCATTTGAATATGTTCACTTGAGATATGGTAACTTATTTATTTATTTATTTGAACACATAAATATTGGTACAAGAGAGCGCCAATATATATGCGCCACACAAAACAATGGGAATTCGAAGAGAAAAGAAGAAAAAGATAAGGAGCGTAAAAAAGAGGACAATAAAGAAGAGATTGGTGGTAGTAATGAGGGAACGGAAAGGTACAATCGGAAGAAATCTTTCAGGTAAGGGAGACATAACCACTTTTTATGAAGAAAGTAAAAGGCTACAGCAGGATCGCCACTGGCTTCTATTCTGAGCCATATCTGATAACTTGCACCGATACATAATTGTATCACGTCCCACATTGTCTATGGCTGACTAAAAATACATTTCGATGGTACAAATGCAATTTTTGCGGGCGGCGATTATCAGCTGATGACGTGGAGTTTGGGTGACTTGTATGCCAAAGAATAATAAAGCGATATTATCTATCAACTCAAGACTATAAATATGTCTATTTAGTCAAGGGTTTTGAGTTGAAACTATTTACTTTGATACTAGATTAATGTTGTGTAATGAAGGTTTTCTGTAACATAAACTTAGAATCCACTCTTATTAACAAAGGCATATGGCACATAAAAAATCAAATAATTTTCCGAAGACCAAAGATAATACTAGACAGCCGAAATCAAATGTTTGATAGGCTCAAGTCTGAAGTCTAGTGCCTGATAATCCTGTCTTTTATCCACAAAACTACCACCCCATTATCTAACCATAAGAAGGAAAAGCATGAAAAAACAAACAAGCAAAAAATACGGCCCCAAAGAGTGAAAAGATACAAGGAAGATTAAACTAAGCATATGCTAGCTAAGAATGCATGTAAATTTATGAGAGATAAAGAAGCATACAGATTTCTAAAGAGGTGGATGGTGGCTAGCAGTGGGGTTTGAGATGCGCATTTCGTTCCATTTGGGACTCGTCAGATGGATGTTCATGTTCATCCCGTGACCCGAACCGATGCCTTTCGCTTCAAACGCCATCGTGTTATCATCCAGTTGGTGACTGAGTTCAGATAGCCTATGGTTTGAGCAATGGGGTGAATTTTTATTCTCATTCATATATACATTGGTTGTTTCGATGTTCAGCACTGCAATTGATCAGTCCTGAAAGTGATGGGTTCGAGTCTCGGAGCGAACACCGACTCTAACATGCAGGTACACCCAGCTGACGAGTCCCGAATGGGACAAAACACGCGTCCTGGATTCCACTGCTAGTCGCCATCCATCTCCGTTTATGCTTTGTATGTTTATGACTTGCTAGGAATATAAAGGCGACCCGCACAGGATGCACATATGTTGTGAACGACAACACAAATAGGGAACAACTAATCGTATTTCAATAAAAAATTACAAAATGTCTTTGTAAAATATGAGAACCATACATTGAATACTTCATTTGCAAATTTCCATCATCCAACCTCAGCATTCTATATGATTCTTACTATTCGTAATTCCTTTCTATTTAACTTTTTTATTCTCTTCAGCTTGATCTTCTTAGTCTTCTACTGCCAGGGCTTCCACTTCCGATGGGTGTTATATGCTACTTATGTCGACGGACATAAGTAGCATACACCGAAAAGATTGATTAACTTAAGTCTTAAACATCAGCAGGAAGATCTAGACAACCAACATATATATATATATATATATATATATATATATATATATATATATATATATATATATATATATATATATATATATATTAAAAATACAAATTTCTATTCAATAATATGAAAAGGCACACATATAATGAATCGGCTATTATATGATCCAGATGACAGAGAGGAGGCAAAATAAAAGGGAACGTCAGTTGAAACTTATGATAAATAAAAATGATATATTGAGTTATTCGGTGAATATGCAATGAAACAAAACCATACATCAGAGGAAATAAAAAACTAGTCATTTACGATCAATTTAAATTGAAGCCGAATTGATCAAGAATAATCAAAATACATACAATAAATATATTTTAATCCAGTGATATTTTACAATTCAAATAATTTTTAATAGGTGATATATTTACACGTTAAAGTAATCTATGTTACAACAATAGCACAATGTTTACCTGAGCAGTATATGGAGATAAAACGGCCTCACTTTCGTCATTTTTAAAACCAGCAGCTGAAAGAATACGATAAGTAAGATTCAGTGCACAAGTATACCATCCATTGTTCTAAGAGAGAAAAGAAACAGATGGAGATGGTGGATTCTTGAATTTTCAATGTTATAAACACCTAGTGTATTATACCTTAAGCCAATAAAGAACTTCGATTTAATTCAGTAATGAGACAGAAGTACATGTATGCAGTTTTGAGTTATCTACTGTAAGCCAGGGCTAATAATACTATGAGGTTACCCAAACATAAGTATGTGGGATGAAGTTTAGGCCTAGAAGTCAACCAACTGTTCCACAAACAGAAAGCTGAAACATAGCAATTAGCTGGAGAGGAATTTCGTTTAAATTAAAACCTAACCCAAATACATATAATATTATATATGAGCATATATACATACATTAAGTCATATGAAACCAAACAGTTTGTGGACAAAAAATTCGTTTTTGTTTGTAGCGACGTCAAAGTATTCTTATTTTTGTTGAGACGCATGAAATATTGTTGTCGGATAAATACTACGACAAGAGTTGCATGATAACTAACGATAACCTGTTTCCACCGAGAAGTCCTACAACAGAACTAGCAAAGAATTATTAGCAGTTTATTTAGCTACTAAACACTAAGTATGCCTTACAAGAAAACGCATTCACAGAGGTTCTGGAACACGTAGCCCTTTGTAAAGAATATCTACAAGCCAGGGAAACTACTGTCAATAAAGCAGAATGATAACTCAATGATATAGTATAGTTCGCTTTTGACAGGTGACACATTAAAAGTAGTAGACATCAAGTTGTTAATAAATCTTAATTATCAAATATCAGATCCACTCTTGATATAATAGATGTAGGAATCAGGCAACCATAGTTATCAAACTTATTAGAGGTAGACTAGCGTCATAGAAAGATCAAAATGTGCAAATAGGCTATCCTTAAGATAATGCAATTGCTAACTGAATTGTTCATACGAAAATGTTAAATCAATCAAGGCAATATGGGTCAATAATCACAATGAAATATAATAGGTCACCACACATAATAAGTAAAAATGCAAGTTGATAGTAGGAAGACAGGTGTACTGATAGTAGTAAGAATAATAAAATACGATAACAAAAGTCATATCAATAGTTAAAAGTTGGGAATAGAAGGTCAAACGTGGGTAAATAGACTTGGAATAGTCATCACAAAACATTAAAATCATTACGTAATAAGAAGCGTGTAAATAATTAGATAGTGAAGAATACAAACGGCAAGAAGCAGAAAATTACAAACAAATACTAGATGTGAAAACAAGGCTAATGATAACAAAGATAGAATAAAATAAATAAATAATAGCAATAATAATAAAAAAACCATTTCGAGTGATCTATCGTATACCTCCATCATTTCCCAACGGAGTTCGTTCCCGCCTCCTACATATAGCTGAAGCTATAGGATTTCGTACATATAACCTCAATTTATGTGTACAGAAGAAATTCGTAACCCCCCTACCCCTTCCATGACCAGTTCTAACTTAACTAACAATTTTTTTCTAATTATTATTGTTATTATTTATTTATTTATTTTATTCTATCTTTGTTATCATCAGCCTTGTTTTCACATCTAGTATTTGTTTGTAATTTTCTGCTTCTTGCCGTTTGTATTCTTCACTATCTAATTATTTACACGCTTCTTATTACGTAATGATTTTAATGTTTTGTGATGACTATTCCAAGTCTATTTACCCACGTTTGACCTTCTATTTCCAACTTTCAACTACTGATAAGACTTTTGTTATCGTATTTTATTATTCTTACTACTATCAGTACACCTGTCTTCCTACTATCAACTTGTATTTTTACTTATTATGTGTGGTGACTGTTAAGTTTGTTTTACATTGTTCCTGCTCATTCCGAATTTGGTCGGAATCCTGTTTGGTTCATTCATCCCAACGATGACTAAAACGAGAAGAATGAAGTACAACGAGGACAGTTCCCAAGACACAGACAATTCCAGTGCTGAAAATATTATTCCTTCAGTTTCTAAGGTGAATTTACCTATTCCTTTAAATCTTGCCTTTGATATTGTTAAACCTAACCCTAAAGACAGTTGCTCGGTAGAAGACAACTATGTAGAGACTAGATACAGCGTAGAAGACGAAGTGGTTTCTAGGGAAAGGGAAGTAGAAAAGATTAAGCTGGAGATTAGAGAACTCCAACTACGCAAGCGATTGTTAGAGCTAACTCCGAACTCTTCAAACAAAGTGAGAAGACCTAGGGAGACCACCGAGTTGTCGGGGTCTCGATCCGAGGATAAGACTTCAGTAGTTACAGCAAGTCACCGATACACCGATGTACCTTCGAGCGATGAAATGTAATTCAAAGCACAGGTAGATAGCGTCAAGGCGCTATGTATGTCAGTAAGCTTACCGAAGGTAGAAATCACGCAATTTGACGGGAGCCCTCTGAAATTTTGGACGTTCATGAAGGGATTCAAGGTTAACATAGCTGACAGAGTAAATGATGACACTCAGAAATTAATGTACCTGATACACTATTGCGAAGGTATAGCAAAGGATGCTATAGAACACTGTGTTTTATTACCAGAAAAGGAAGGTTATACTGAGGCAGTTAAAATTCTACATGAACGGTTCGGCAGACCACATGACATCGTGGATACCTATGCATTGTTAGATAATGGTTCAGACTCGACATTACTGCTTAGTGACGTGGCAAAGCAGGTAGGAATTTCTGGTACAGTGACAAGATTAAACATATCTTCGGTAATTGGAGCGTCATCTCGGAACGCCGAACTTACCAATTTCGAAATTGAGTTTTTAGATAAGACCAACCGAATAAAAATCGAAGGTGCATATACTATAGATAACCTACCTATTAAAAGAGCAGAAATCCCACCAACGGACTTCCAAGAAAGATGGAAACACTTGAAAGGTGTACAACTACCCACCATAGCCTGTGACAAGGTTGGTTTGTTACTTGGTGTTGACGTTCCAGAGGCCCACTGGGTACTCGATCAGCGTATCGGAAAACCTAAACAATCTTATGCTTCACTAACCATGTTAGGGTGGGCTTTATTTGGACCAACGGGTCAACTTAATAAAACTTCAGTCTTCATGAACTGTTTAAAAGCGAAAAATTCCCTTGAGGAGGATATTCTCAAATTATTTGAACATGAATTTTCTGAAAATAAGTACTCTGATAAGGTTACTATGTCGCTATGTGATAAGACCATTATGGAGATTACTGACAAAAACAAACAGTATTGCTCGATGGACATTATCAAGTGCCGATACCCTGGAAGGTGGATTGGCACTCACTTCCAAGGAATAAGCGCGAAATAGAAAAACGATTAATTTACCTACGTAAAAGGTTGCTAAAAGACGAACAGCTTCGGAAACAGTATACTATTATATTAGCTACCCACGAAAGTAAAGGATATTTGTCTCGAGTAACTCAAGCTATCGAAGAAGAAAGGTATTTTATTCCACATCATCCCGTATTTAACCCTAAAAAACCAGGTAAAGTTCGGATAGTCTTTGATTGTGCTGCTAAGTTACAAAACAGGTCTCTAAATGATTGTATATATTCTGGACCAGATCTTACAAACGACCTAGTGGGAGTTTTGCTTAGATTCAGAAAGCATAAGATTGGATTGTCAGCAGACATTGAAGAAATGTTCCTCCAGGTACATCTACCCGAAAAGGATACAAAGGCCTTCAGCTTTTTATAGTATCCCGATGGCAATCTTGATTCTCCTCCTGAGGTCTATGAGTTGCATGTACACCCTTTCGGGACTACGTCTTCGCCGTTTTGCGCTACCTATGCTTTAAGACGTACAGCTACAGACCACCGAGATTTGTTTGATGAAAAAACCCAGTCCACCTTACGAGAAAATTTTTATGTAGACGATTGTCTAGTCTCAGTAGAAACAATACCAGAAGCTGCCGAGTTAGCAAATAACCTAATAAGACTCGTTGCGCTTGGAGGTTTTCGTTTACATAAATGGGTTAGTAACGTAAATGAAGCGCTGAATGACGTCCCTATAGGTGATAGATCAAACAATTTGGTTCGTATACCAGGTTCAACAGAACGTATACAGAGAACTTTAGGACTTTGTTGGCACACGCAATCCGATTGTTTTACATTTGACGTAAATCTTCCCGAACGCCCGATCACTAAGAGAGGCATTCTATCATGTGCATCATCGTTATATGATCCGCTTGGATTTCTAGCGCCTTTATCACTTACCCCTAAACGAATTCTGCAACAGCTATGTCGTAAAAACTATGGGTGGGATGAGATGATAGATGAAGAGTCACGATTGAGTTGGGAAGGTTGTTTAGAAGCAAAAAGTTCTATCGAGGACGGACCCACGCCACCCCCTTCTTTGACCACAGTAGCGCCTGAAAACTCTTCAAATCGTTTGTTGCCGTTCATAGATGATCCTGGTTTATGCCTTAAACACTCTCCTGATGTGTCACTCTTAGTCGATGATGATGATGTACGCTCACTCACAGTAACAGCAGCCGCTGTTGAGACTGAGGATTCCAGAGTTCATCAAGGTTTACCGTCAGTTCGTTCTTTTGGATTTAACACTCCACCTGATTCAAGAAGTAACCGACTTATAGACACCTTTGATTCTGTATCTAAAGCGACAGACGAGAATTTAATGGATTTAGAACAAGTTATTTCATTACCAGCTGTTGACGATGAGTACCTTCTAAAAACTGCCAACGATCGTCGTGTCGATACAGCAGTGAATATTGACCTTAGATGTATTTCTCCTGCAGACAAAATTCTTCCAATAGATAGCGGCGAGTTAATGTCATCGAAAACATCTGTTATGTTCTCTGCCGAAACAAATCTCCCTGGTGTTTCTGACGTGAACGATAGTGCTAAGTCTGTGATACTACTACACGAGTCATCAATTAGTTGCAAAGCAACAACAAATCAGTTCTCTGCAAATACGAAACTTGTATCTCTTGTAGTGGAGTCTGCTGAGAGTTCTATTGACATCAAGCATGAAACAGAGAATCAGAAAGATGATTGTTTTATTCAGTCTGCTGATGATGATAAGAAGTTTAAGACAACTACATCCATGTCCCCTTTAGTTGGGTTAGACAAGCAGATACAACATCCATTACCAGACTTTAAGGATAGTAGAGTAGCTAAAGAAATGACTCATCGGAACATAGAATGGCACCATAACACTCCCTACGCAAATCATCATCGAGTATGGGAAAAATTAATAGGAAGCATACGTAGACTTTTGAGCGCAGTATCTATGTCCTACGAGACACTCACCACCTGTTTGACTGAAGCAGAAAGAATACCTAATGATAGACCACTCTTACAGACGCGAACAAAATGGACACAAGGAAGACGAGATTTACAAGTTCGCGGTCCAGTCTTGATTATTAGAGACACTTATGCACGAAATAACTGGCCTAAAGGCCTCGTGGTGAGTTTTGATCCAGGAGGAGATGGTCTATGGAAACAAGCGAAGATCAGAACGTGGAAAGGTACAATTATTAGAGGCATACGTAAAATTTGTTTATTAGAAGGAGCTGACGACCGAAAAGTAGAGGATAGAGAGACTTTTCAGAGTGACTGTGGCTAGAGTAAATCGTACCATTGTCACCTCTGAATGTTTTTACGTTAATACCTAATCAGCGAAAGTAAGGAAAGACATGCTGTCTTTTGGGGGCGGTGTTAAGTTTGTTTTACATTGTTCCTGCTCATTCCTTTCCTACTCTTTTGTATTTTGGTTTATACTACTTATTTATATTCAGTAAGCAGTTGTATGCCCAACAATTTTCACAATCATGTTGTAACTCAGGTTGTACTGTAACATTCTGAAATGTTCACAAATATCTTTAACGTTTATTTTACTTATCATTGTATTTATCATTATAATCACTGCAATTTAATTGCTGTAACGGTTATCCACAGTTTTATGCGTTTGTTTAAACGCAACAGTTTCCATATTGTTTGCTCTTGGTTCGAGTTTCGGTTGTTCATAAACTGTTATCAAATTTAGACACAGCTATCGGCTGTCTTTGGACTATCGTATGTTGTAATCATCCTTTATGTTACTTTTACAGGAAGCCTTTACTATTTTCATTCTTGAACGACGCGTTTAAACGCCTAGACACCTCACAAGTTGAGGTTTGTAACTAAATTTTGTGTATTATTTAATAAAGAACCGCTTTTGTAGACAAATCGTTGTTTTGGAACTTCGATTTTGCGCGTATCTCAATCGGGGTTACTTAGACGCTTCGATAGAATTAACAGTGACCTATTATATTTCATTGTGATTATTGACCCATATTGCCTTGATTGATTTAACATTTTCGTATAAATATTCATGTATATTAGAGTAAAGCCTGATGACAATCTAATTGAAAACAATTGTTCGCTTATATGTGTTGTTCTGATTTTCACAATGGGAATCTTTAATAACTGAATTGTGATATGCACCCCATTGAAGAGTTAACAACTTACAATTAATTTTTTGAGATCATCACCACTTTGACTCCTCAGTTCAATAGATGGAACCCGTTGGATTGCATTAACGTTTGGTTCATCGCCCGTATACTGAGCCAACAAATAATGGAATGGATCAAAAGCAGAACTGCTACCACTACCGCCAATCTCATAATCTTTGCCCATGAGAATAGGTTTTACCTCAACTAACTTGTTTTCGGGACTTGGACTCAATAATGCTTTTTGAGTAGATTCAGAAGGCAACCAGGCATCTCGTTGTCTTAGACGGTTCAAACTCGTTACATCTTGTTTAGGATCCAACTGAGAGCACTTTGATAGATCAGTATTGCTAGGTGATTTGGGCTATGAAAATAGCGTAAAGCTGTTAGATAGGTGGAGAGAAATCATAGCGTACACATGTCTGTATACGAGTAAACTTTAATACTATGTAACAAATATTTGTTGTTCCCCTTTTTTATAAGCCCCAGTGTCATCAACACTAAAACAAGAATTAAAAACTGTATAAGCACATTGATAAATAAGTAGTCAAATAAAAGGGCTAATCGGAGGAAATTCCGTGAAAAAATAGGAAAGATTGAGTGAGTAAACCAAACATATAACGGTGACTGGTTGCTGCAGCTATCCTCGGACAATTGTTTATTTCTAGCAAGCACCAACTATGAGCACGATATACGCATTCGTCTGATACGGCAACCGACTCAACGGTAGACCCAAATAGAATACATTGCAATCAGCCTCTGTTAGAGAAGCTCAATAGAAGACCGACTCATTCTGAAGCATATATTTGGACTTTAATCATACTCTAGTACATTTTACAGGACGCAGTAGTCTCAAAAGAAAGACTGATCACAATTTAGTTTAACGACGATACCCTCAAAGTATATTTCAGAGACAATTAGAAAAGCAGCTAGTGAATCATGAGAGTAATGATTATCCAGATGTGGCTTAGCATAATATACAAACAGCTGTGATATCTACCAGTGACTTAAACCAATGGGTTGAAAAAAACCACTGGATACTGATGGCATCTACTTAATTGATAGATGCTGGAAAACGTATCCCGATAGGTTTCAAACACGATAAGGAGCTATTAAGAACAAGGGATATTCGTAGGGCGGCCTGCTTGAGCATCTGGGCTACCTGTTACTGCCATCTAGATATTTCAACAAGTTATCTGTTTTTGTTTGTTTTAATATATCATTATGTTTATTAATCGCATAACCTATTCTGCTGCGTTTCTGAAAAGTGTACAACCTTTCGTTGTCAAGGTTACAAAAAACTCAATAAGAGACAATGTGGTTGCTGGCAATATACAACGAAAAGAATGCACATTATTCAGATGTTCATTTACTGAACTACTAACATCTAGCGGGCGATCACTCGATATTTATCGCCAGGACCGACCAAGAAGAAAGAAACGGAAACTTGTTGAAATACTTTACGCTGAGAATTCTATATTGTACCAAAAATATAATATTGAATAAAGCCGGTGATAATAATAATAATAATAATAATAATAATAATAATAATAATAGGGTACTAGCATTCGATCATAGGTATTTCTGAAGCATTATCTGTGCACTTTGGGACCACCGAGTAAGCAAAGCTGAGGTTAGACGCAGAGTACCAGGTAGCGATAACAAATTGGTTGATAAGGTAGTGAATCTGTACCAGCCGAAGCGGTTGGGACATGCATTACGTATTCAAGATCACTCACTGCATACCTTAACATGTTTACTCAGTCAGTCAGTAACAACGTAGAACTTCTTACGTACGTACATCAGTTCAAGTCGCCATACCACATTAGCACAGACACAATTGTCGATTCAAGTCCTTAAGTGGTGGAGGTAGTAAAAGTATAAGCCGTAATCGGAAACACTAGGATTTGAATATGTCATCTAAGGAGTACAATCCAGTGAAATAAATTTGGGAAGAGAAAAAAGAAAGGGACATCAAGAATTCAAAAGATTAGAATTTGGGCGAACACAAAGAGTGGGTGCACCTGCGCCATTAATAACGATTTTGAGCCATGTCACTCAGGGTCTCGAACCATCGGTTGCTATCATCTCGCGGACCCCAATCAGATAGTCTACACCTATGAACATGGCTCAGTCCACTTGTCAGTGTCTTCACGGATTTGTGCCATGTTTTGGTCTGGCTGCCCTTAGCTTTCTTCCAACCTACTCCTACACCATAAAACATCGCACGTCGGGGCAGTCGGTGGTCGGGCATACGTAACACGTGTCCCAGCCATCTCAACTGATGAAGTTTCACTACTTCATCAATTGATTCGTCATCCTTACCTAGTACCCGTTTCCTAACAACTACATTACATATCAGGTGGTCTCAGGATGTATGAGGAATGCCTCGAGGACATCTATGGTCGAATACTAGTAACCTACGAATATCCTCTACTCTTACCGTCCATGTTTCACTGTCATAAAGAAGGACGGAACGAACTGCTGCGCAGTAAACCCGTCCTTTGGTTGGTAGACGGATATCTCGCCTATGCCATAAATGACACATGTTGGCAAAAGCTAGTCGAGCAATCTGTATCCGTGCTGAGATTTCGTCACACACCAGACCACAAGGGCTGATGAGACTCCCAAGATAAGTGAAGCGGTCGACACGCTCGACTACTTCACTTGCTATCATTAGTTCGGGTGTCGATGCAACCCAATCCTGAAGCAACATTTTGCATTTCGAGGGAGATAATCGCATCCCAACCATGCTTGCGTTGTTGCTTAGAGTGGTCAGAAGATTCTGTATTTTGTCGGCGTCTTCAACAAACAGAACTATGTCATCAGTATATTCTAAGTCAACAAGTGAATCTCCCGGTAGAAGTTCAACCCCTGGAAATTCGGATGAGGAAAGTGTTATCTCTAAAAGCATGACATATTTACTGGTGTAACAGTAGGTTGGAAGAAAGCTAGGGGTGGCCAAACCAAGATATAAGACCAGTCCATGAAGTCGCTGACTGTCAGATTGAGCTTTGTAGGTAGATGTAGAGTACCTGGTTGAGATCCGAGTGAATGTAGTAGCCAATACTTAGATACTTTGGGTGATGTGGCTTCAAATAGTTTGTAGTGACTCAGATGCATTTATTCTGTCCTCTCTCAGGCCCTAGGACCTGAGACTTCCTTAGATATTTTCCTTTGTTGGGATACTTAATCTTTTCTATTGCTACTAATACGACTACCACCAATATTATTTATACTGTGACTTTTTCTACTACAGTAAGATGTCTTGATCACTCTAACACGCTGTGCTAATGTTGTGTGGCGACTTCGACCGATGCACATATGTATCGGGTTCTATGTTGTATATGACTGACTTACCGATTTGATCCATGTTCGTAGACTCAGATTACCCGTTTGGGGTGCGCGAGACATCTGAAACTAGTTGTTTATGTTTCATGATATTATCAAATGCATTCATTCTTTATCTTACTCTAGATCTCGATTTTAAGTACTCTTGTATCGAGTCTATCCAAACCATATATTTAGTGTTTAGTTTTTATGATTAGCGCTGTTATTTTTATTTATTGATTCAAACACACAAACATTAGTACAAGGACGCATCAAACAGATATGCGCCACATAAACCATTCGATGTGTGAGGGCTGGGATACTGCCCGAGTGTCCAAACCGAAGCAGGTGGCTTTCTTTAGGAAAAACTCCCCGAGCCCTTGATCCGACAGTCTAATCCACAAGGCAGTAGGATGTCAGGAGATGAAGTTCCATGGTAGCCGGTAATCAACAATAGGTTCATACGTCATTTGTTTCCTTAGGATCCTAGAGCCCGTGTGCACCAGTGATTTGAAATCAGGACTTTCCAACTCCTCTAGGTGAACCCTCCGTACCCACCAACCCCGTTAAAGCGCCGGACATTCGCTATTACACTACTTGAACTCTTGTTATCCATCTTTCAAATTTTATCTTGTACTAATGTGGTATGACAATCCAAACTGACACAGTTGCCACGTTGGTAGTTGTTTAGTAACTTTAGTGGATATGTACTTCCCTAAAACAGGTGATGATCACGACAATTTTTTAGAAAGTATTGGCAAAAGTTGAAGACCCAATAAAAAAGACCAGTAAAAAAGTTCCATTTATCCAGTTTCCAAATAGTTATAATGAATTAAGAGCCCGGAGATAAACACCTTTATTGTTGAGATACCTTTCCTAATTGTTGACTTTAAGTTCTCATAAAAACACCTTATATTGTACATTGCTACCTGATAAAACTTTTTAGTGAGTGATCTGAATATTTTATCTGTGATATGTTAACAAACAAACTATAGAGTCCAGTCAAGTAGTATATGGGATTGAAGCTGAGTTGAGATGGTTCAAAAACAGCTGATGTAGCCAGGTTTTTAATACGTTTCCACCCAAATTATTGGAAACCCTATTACAAGAACCCAAAATTTAAGAGAAAGTAAAAAAAAATCATCAAGAGCTGGTTCTGAATGTCGATAAATTTACCTCAGATTTTTATTGAGTTTCTACAAAAAAAGACAGTGGTCGATAAAGCTGCTGTTACCTCATGACCTACACTTGGAAGAAAGAACATGTTCCCGTTTTTTAATTACTGATTACCAGGTTCAGAATTTTTCCCATGTAACCGAATACCAGTAACCAGGTGAAGTTACTAGTTATTATACAACAGTCATGAACTATTGTTCATTATACAAGTCTGTCCGCAAATGCCAAAATCAAAAATTGAAAGCCCCATTGTAATAACTTTTTAACGAAGTGTAAAATGAATTAAGAAACTGACCTCTCTTACCAATTCATTAGGATTTGAGTCACAAACAGAACCGAATGGATCGTCCGAATTTATTTCTTCAGTGAAATAATTACTCAAAATACTATGACTTTGGGCTTCAGAATCTTTAGAATTTGGAAAATATTTAAATTTAATGAGCAGAATGTAAACATACCCTTTCCGACCTTCTGACCATTAATAAGCTGAAGACAAACATCTTGATTAAATTCAGATAATAGCGAGTGATCTTGATGTTTTTTCAAAATGATTCATAGAAAAATGTTTGGCATACATTAATACTTACCACTAACCTCGACTTTCCCTTGCCTACAATTTGTACTCATTTTTAAATGGTTCAAATGGTTGTGGATGGAATAGAAGCTTTCGCTTAACAGGCTTCCGTGTCTAGTAGCAGGGGATCACCAGATCCTCCAGGCAGGAACCTAGGTATGTTAACAATAAAAGAGGGAAAGAAATTGGTAAATCATAGTGTGATGCTGTCCTTGGTCCTTAAGAATAGGTCAAGTTGCCTCTTGAAGGACTCCTGAGAAGTCGCTTGGACTAGCTCGGCCGGCAGCGAATTCCAGCTTTTGACAACTCTTAAGGAGTAGAAGTTGTGTCTACACTCCGTCTTGCTATGTTGTGTCTCCAGTTTCTGGGTGTTACCCCTTAGGTTATTATTCGAACTAAGCTTAAGTAGGTGTTTAAGAGGATGTCCAGAAGTGTTAAGAATACTATAAGCCATTAATAAATCACCTCTAAGACGCCTATACTCTAATGGGTAAAGGTCTAGTGAATGGAGGCGTTCTTCGTAAGGTTTAGATTTGAGTCCTCGAACTGATTTCGTGGCTCGACGTTGGATACGCTCCAAAGTGACCTTGTCCTTTTGGAGTGAGGGAGGAAATACTATGTTTCCGTACTCTAAATGGGGACGGATGAAACTATTGAAGATTGTATGGAAAGTTCGTCCGTCAAACTGACCAAAAATGCGCTTCAACGTTACCAGTGCAAGGTTTGCTCGGAAGGCATTTTTGTCACAGTTAGCGTAAGACTTTAAATCATGGGGCACCAGGACTCCTAAATCTTTTTCCACTTGGGATACTACTAGAGAGGAGTTTCCCAAGTTGTAACTGTAGTTTGCGACATGTCGCAGATGGACTACTTTACACTTTGAAGTGTTAAAGGTAAGTCCGTTATCGTCTGCCCAACTTTGAAGTCTAGTCAGATCCTCCTGAAGTGCCTGTATATCATCTTGGTTGCGTATCTCTCTCTCCAAAGTTTTACGTCGTCGGCAAAAAGTAATAAGTCTGACGTTACCTGTTGAGGAAGATCATTTATGTAGATCAAGAAGAGAAGAGGCCCTAGTACTGAGCCCTGGGGGACCCCACTAGGACATTCCATAGCCTGAGATAAAGTGAAATTAACCCTAACCTTAAAGTGTCGATTTTTTAGGTATGAAGCAAGCCAATCGATCAAGGTGGTTTGATACCTAGTCGTTTGAGCTTATTGATAAGACACAAGTGGTTAACCTTATCAAAAGCTTTTGAGAAATCAAGGTAATTGATATCAACCTTTCCCTTGCGATCGAGGATGCTTGTCCATCTGTCCACCGCAGTCAGCAGGTTGGTTATACAAGAGTAACCCTTCCTGAAACCATGCTGTTGGGGTGAGAAGGAATTTAAGGACAATAGATAGTCGTTTAAACCGTCGCATATCAGAGAATCCATGAGTTTTGAAGGTAATGACAGAAGAGCCACCGGCCGATAACTTGAAGGTTCATTGCGTCGACCTCCTTTGAAAATTGGTGTGATGTGAGCCAACTTCCAATTTTCCGGTAATTTGCCTCGGCTTAGCGAGTGTGAAAACATCACACTAAGCGGCGTTGCCAGGATTGAGGCTGCCTCCCTCAGTATGGCAGGATGAACCATATCCGGGCCAGGAGAAGTATCGAGTCTTAAGTGCTGCAATTTCCGGAACACCAAGTCAGCGCTTAGGTCCACTTCGGAAAGTCCTGTGGAAGTGCAGATGAAACTGTCGTCAGTAAAGTTGATGTCAGCCGGTTGAAATGTTTGAGAGGAATGTGCCGCCACAAGGTTAGCGGCGTCGCCATCGTTGTTAGTCGGGCCGTTAAGACCTAGCAGTTTTGGCTTGACGAAGAGAGGCTGCATAACGGAATAGGCTTCTAGGGTTAGAGGCAAATTTGTTCATAAGCTTTGTCTGGTACTGAGGCCTGTCTTCTCTTATAGCCTTCGTGCATGTGTTCCTTATATGTTTATATCGCCTATACGCCCCGTAGTTATCAGTTTGTTTGTATTCCGCCCAACAGTGCCTTTTGCGGCTTAGCAGGCGAAGGGTACGGTTCTTGATTACTGTAGGTGGCTTGCAGCTTTTGGGAACCGTTTGAGGAACTGAATGGTTTGTAGCACATAAGAGCGTGTGCAGTAAGAAGTCCCAATGACCGTCCACATCGAGTTGAGGGTGAACATCCCAAACCACCTGTTATACATAGTCAATATAGAGCTGGCACATTCAGCCGTTTAAAATTCCAACGCAAATTATTGTTGGGATACCTTAGCTTAGTTTTGATGACAAAGCTGAAGGCGATGACGGCATGATCGCTCTTTCCCAGAGGAGCCAGGATTGAGAGGTTGTCAACTAGGAATTCTTCGTTTGTGAATACACAGTCTAAGCGCGATGGTGTCTGACTGTTTCTCCAACGAGTTGCCGACCTCACATTTTCATATAAGCCCAAGTCATCGATGAGGTTGAAGAACCGAGCTTCAATTGAGTTGTCGCCTCCAGTGTACGTGTGTGTCCGCGAAGTTGACTCTAGGGAGATCAAAGTCCCCTAAAATCAGGATGTGTGTGAAACCGAGACGAGTAGAGCGGGATAGTCCTTCCAGCATACGACTATCGTACTCGATGTCGGCAGTTGGCTTCCTGTAAATGACTCCGACTAGACACCTCGAAGTACTTGACAATCTAACAGAGCACCATATGGATTCCTCAAGATTGTTAAACTCGAGGTTGTGAACTTGGTGCACCTCCAAGCAAGAGCTTATGTATATGGCTACTCCAGCCCCAATTCCTGTTTTCCTGTCGTTGCGGAACAAAGTCATCCCAGGTAATGCTAACTCTTGGTCCGAGAACTGAGAAGATATCCAGGTTTCAGATATTCCTATCAGACGGGCCTCATTAACGTTACTAAGTTCACGTAATTCATCCAGTTTGTTTGGTAGACTCGCGGCGTTCATATATAAGCAGTTTATGCTTTCAATTTGGAATGCGTGAGCTTCGTCCTGCTTTTCTGTATGAACCTTATGTGAATGGACAGGTAGCCCACCTATATGAGGTTTGCCGAGGCGGTGGGCCCTGTCCTTTACACGTTTTTTTAATCATTTAGACAGTCCACAAGTGGAATGGTCAGCTCCAACTTGCCTTTGTTCTTGGTCCTATCTTCGTATGGCCTATCCGGGTGCATGTGGATTCCAGGTGGCAATCGGCGTCTATTGGCACGAAATGCTTCCAGAACTGCAGCCGCCATGCGGGAAGATGGGAAGGTTATCTTCATTAGACGGGGTCTAAGATCACCGTCCTTCTTGGCTAGTCTCGTCACATGCTGAGTCAGTATGTGTTTGAGCCTCAAGGACTGTTTGATGAATTTCCATTCCCTGATGTCAGAATTTGATTGAGTAGGGTCTGCATTTTCCGGTATACCTTGCACAGTTGTTTCTTTCGCGGAAAAACTCGCGAGATTCTTTGCGCTCAGAGTACGGTATGTCGGGCAATATTCTTACGTTACCATCGGATTTCAGCAAGTGACTTGCTAGCAAGACGTCCTCTACTTCGGTAGCATTCTTGAGTGTTACTTGGAGAAGCCTCGGGTGATTTAGATGCTTAGAATCCTTTCCCCGAGTGAGCCGGGTGACCATCAAAGGCTCTATTCTAGGAAGTTCGAGCTTCTTGTTCAATTCACCCCAGAGCATCCTGTCGTCTTTGTCCTGCAGACTGAGAGGAAGGTCAGAATTGTCAACGAGGTTCATGATAATGAGAGAATCGTCACGAACTGTTGTTAATTTACCAGGTTTCACGATGGGTTCAGGTTTAATAACTTGTTGTTTGGAGGTCAGTGCGCGTTTTTGAGTCTTTGGCTCTTTATTGACCAGACGAACAGTCTTGGGGGTAGACTGTGCGACCAAATCGCCAGTTATTTTCCGTACAGCAATACTTGGGTTGCTCGGCTTAGGCGGTGATGCCTGGTTCTTTTGGGCTCTCTTAACGTGGGTCGAATCACCTACAGGGTTTTTGGGAACCACGGTTGTGTTCAGGGACCCTGAGCTGGGAGACCCGAGTTTGCTTAGGGAGTCTAATACCGTCGACGTAATGATGGTGCTGAGCCTCGACACGTCATCATTAGTGTTGATGGATGCTCCATCGATGGTATACCTGTCGACATCCCTATTTTTGTATCCGTCGCATGCTCTTGTTTGTCTACCGGTTTTTTTACTATCGTTATTCAAGTTAACTGACAACTTGTTCCGAAGACCTGTCAGTAGGACAATGATGTTACTCAGCAAGACTACAGCGTGCGTGCTGCACGTGACACATACTCACTTTGGGTCTGACTTGCTGAGTGTTGTAAGCAGTTGCTGTCAGATCTGTGAATGCTTCGTGGAACCAACCTTTGCAGTTGTCGCACTGCATGCCAGTTGTAACAGCAAAACGGCATCCCGGACGTTTGCATGAGTTTTTCATGACTATGTTGAAGCAAACTATGTTATAGATGCTTGCAAAAGTCTAAGACCTTTAAAAACACCAAAAAGCACACTGAAAACGGACAAAAATGGATAAAACGAGTAATATAAACTGAAACTAGTCTATACGTGAAAAACAAAAAAACCGAACAGTAAGCTGAGGCAGAACCACAGGTAACTATTAAATATGGTGAAACTCAAAAAAAGTAATCCACCGAACGTATAGCTCAGGATAGATTCTTTAGAACTGAAATGGTACTTTTGTTGCGTAAGAACACAGCAAAATTTGATAAACGCAAATCATGTTAGGACCAAACTTACCGTTCGAAAAGCGCGCGTTACTTACGAAAAATGTTTTAAATGTTTAGCAACTTCCAGTGAGGCTAATCTAACCACCAGGCTACTGAAAGTTATAGTGTGCGAATGACGTGACACGACGTGTTGAATTCAGCAAGAGGCTTGGAATTACTTGTCACAACAAGAACGACTGCCAAGGTCAGACAGGTAAAACGAATAAGCCAGGCAAAAGGTGTCCAACAATCAGTCTTCAGTTATACTGTGGAAGTCCAATCTGAATTTGGATATATCAACAGGAGGTGCTGATATTACGTGTTCCGGTAGAGAATTCAGGTAATTCACTACTCGGTGAAAGAAACGAAACTCCAGACGTAAACGATTTGATTGTAGTGACTCACGTTTATCACGAGAACACGACTGGTTTAATAAAAACAATTATTATTATAACCAACTGTACCAGTGTTTGTTTTAACGTGCTTTTGTTTGACTGTGCTAATGACAGCTATTTTGTGCTTCCATTCTTTTACTTACCCTTTGATTGTAACTTCGCGCGAATTCGGTTACGTTCTGTAACCAAGCTTGTATCCTGGCACGATCTCGGTATCCTTTCGATGCCACGAGATCGCCAGCAAATAAACATCGACTTGGTTCATTAATTGCCTTCTGGTATTTGGCTTCTCGGGGATTTTATGGATCTATTTGGTTACGTCCAACCCTCGCCTTCTGATTTATTTGGCACGTGTTTCTTGGTAGCGGTGTTCATAGTTAATCTCAACTCGACGCCACGCTACAATTGGTAATCCCAATTCGAATACAATTGGTGAGCCCAAAGTTTGGAACACGCCGCAACCTCGGGTCAAATCATCCAAAGAAGTCAATTTAGTGAGTCTATTATTTATCTATCCACGTCTGTCGTATATTTTCATATTAATTTTTAATATATAATATACACGACATGACGGATAGCGAGAAGAATACTATTAATGTTATAGACTCAGACGTACAGGCCATTCATTTTTGACCTGTATCATTTATCCCCCACGACCCTGAGGTCTGTTTTGCTGCAATAGAGTCTCAGTTCGAGACTCGTCGCATCACGAGCCAAACGCAAAAATACGCCTACGCTCTCGAATCGTTACCCGGGGACCAGTTAGTAGCTGTTCGTGAGGTCGTCCTCAATCCTAACGTGCCTAATGTTTATGACCGCCTCAAGGAGGCAATTCTCCGACATTTCCTCCCATCGAGGGAGGAACGATTGAGGACCCTGTTAGCACGTCACCCCCTGGGTGATGCTAAACCAAGCCATCACCTCACGCGCCTGCAATCTCTTGCAGGGCCAACAGCATCTGACTCGGAGATAGTTAAGGAATTATGGCTCGAGTCACTACCAGCCCATATCCAACCTACTGTGACGGCACTGCTCGAGGACTCACCGCTTAACCAGGTAGCCCTCATAGCAGACAAAATTTTGGCGAGGACTAGTAATAGAGATACCTATGTAGTTGCTTCGACGGCACGTCCTAAAGTAGACATGGACGCCGGTCATTCCCCAGCTCATGGTGACAGGGCCGGGTGTATTCACACACGTCTTAGTTTTCGAGACCGTTGTAACGTACCCCAACCCTACGTCCCCCGAGCTCGCTCAAGTTCTCGCAAACCCGTCACCACTCGCCCAAAAAGGGCATCTTCCAGGCCACGCCGAAAGGCGGCTACGGAAGCGAGTGACAGTTGGTGCTGGTTCCATAGGTCCTTCGGGTCTGGCGCCCGCCGTTGTCGAGCACCATGCTCATACAAGGCGGGAAACGCCAGCGCCGGCGAGTAAAAGCGGCCGTACTCGCCGGCCCTTCTCCCCAGGTTGGTCGCTTATTCTATGTGCACGATTATCGCACAAACGCTAGGTTCCTAGTAGACACTGGGGCCCAGGTTTCTGTCGTACCACGAGGTAGCAGCAAGTCACAAGCCACAGTGCTTCGACTACGCGCTGCGAATGGCTCAGTCATTCCTACCTACGGTACACGACAACTCGCGGTCAACCTGGGCAACCGACGACGGTATCTGTGGACGTTCATCATTGCTGATGATCCCACAGCCATACTAGGTATCGATTTTCTACAGCACTATGAATTGCTTGTCGATTCATGTAGGCTGCAGCTAATCGATACTTCGTCGAACAGTAAATTCATGGGCTGCAAAGCCCACATGAACGCGTACCGAATCCTCGGCACTTTTTACTCGCGTGACGATAAATTCCACGCTTTATTCGAGAAATTTCCCGTACTCACTAAACCACTCGAGGAGCTTCCATCGGTGACCAATCGTGTGGTACACCACATAGTCACCCGCGGACCGCCAGTCACGGCACGACCTCGCCGACTGGCACCGGACAAATTAGCTTTTGCTAAGCGTTAGTTTGACAATTTACTAGCTACTGGTATTATTCGTCCTTCTCACAGTCCATGGGCCTCTCCTCTACACATGGTGCGCAAAAAAGATGGGGTTAGTTGGAGACCATGCGGCGACTACCGAGCTCTAAACGTAGTTACGCGCTTTGATAGCTACCCCATCCCCCACATACACGACATCACGGCATCGCTCAAGGGCACGACTATCTTTTCTAAGATCGATCTGGTACGAGCATATCATCAGATCCCAGTCGCTCTTGAAGATATCGAAAAGACCGCTATCACGACTCCTTTCGGTTTGTTTGAGTTCCTACGAATGCCATTTGGATTACGGAATGCTGCTCAAACTTTTTAAAGGTTTATCGACAGCATTGTACGAGACCTCGATTTTGTTCACGTCTATATTGATGACCTGCTAATCGCATCATCAAACGTAGATGAACATTATCAACATCTTACGCTATTATTCCAACGCCTTTCGGATAATGGAACAGTAGTTAACCCAGACAAATGCGAGTTAGGTAAACGAGAAATAATATTTCTGGGTCATGTAATCAAGCAAGAGGGTATTCTACCTTGTGAGGACAAAGTGAAAGCAATAAAGGAGTACAACGTGCCGTCCTCACTCAAGGAACTGAAGGCTTTTCTCGGTTTGGTTAGCTTCTACCGTCGTTTCATCCCACACGCGGCAGAACGGTTACGACCACTAACCGACTTACTACGCGGCAACCCACGCAGATTGGAAATGAACGATTCTGCACGTACTGCATTCACTGAAATCAAAACGGCTCTTGCGCAAGCCACTCTTCTCGCCCATCCCGATCCATCAGCCACGCTTAGTATAGCGGTTGATGCATCCGATGTTGCTATAGGAGCAGTCATGCAACAAAACATCTCCGGTAGTTGGCAACCTCTCGAGTTTTTCTCACGACGCCTTACTGCCACGGAGACGAGATATAGCGCTTTTGGTCGCGAGCTGCTAGCAGCCTACTGCGCCATCAAACATTTTCGGCACGCAGTAGAAGGGCGTCGATTCATTTTATTCACCGACCATAAGCCCTTAACGTATGCCTTGCATACCAAGTCTGACCGCTACTCACCACGAGAGTGCAGACATTTGGACTATATCTCCCAGTTCACGACAGACCTTCGTCACATCCAAGGCAAGTCGAACTGTGTTGCCGATGCTCTATCACGAATCCAAATGAATGCAGTTACCCTGCCGGTGCTCGATCTTCCTGCTATGGCCGCTGCCCAAGCAAACGATTCCAGCTGTACAGAAGCACCACACTCTACGTCCCTTCAGTATCAGGAAGTACCTCTAGCCACGACTTCTGGCACCATTCTATGTGATACTTCTACCGGTCTTCCTCGACCCATCGTACCCTCTGCTTATCGCCATCTCGTATTCGATGCTCTGCATGGATTATCTCACCCAGGTATCGCAGCTACATTACGCCTCATCGCTGCACGATACGTCTGGCCGTCCATGAATAAAGATGTTCGTATGTGGGCTAAGCAATGCTTACAATGTCAACGATCAAAAGTGCACAGGCACGTAGCCGCCCCCCTCGGTACATTCGCTACGCCTGATGCTCGCTTCGATCATGTTCACTTAGACATTGTAGGACCACTGCCACCACCGCACGGGTATGATCACATACTCACGTGCATCGACCGCTTCACCAGATGGCCCGAAGCTATACCCATCACGTCTATCACGGCGGAGACAGTTGCTCACCGCTTCGTAGAACGATGGATAGCTCTATATGGTTGTCCCTCGACCGTCACGACTGACCGAGGACAACAATTTGAGTCCGCACTATTCTCCTCACTTACTCGGCTGCTTGGTACGGAACGAATACGCACTACCGCCTACCATCCAGCTTCAAACGGTTTAGTTGAAAGGTTTCACCGGCAACTTAAAAGTGCTCTTCGAGCACACGAAAACGACGACTGGTACGAAACCTTACCACTCGTTCTTTTAGGTATCAGAACGAGTTTAAAGGCAGATATCCAATGTTCCGCCGCTGAACTTGTATACGGCACGACATTGCGTCTGCCCGGGGAATTCTTCACACCACGGAGCAGACCTAATTTCACTAAATCAGACTACGTCCAACGACTGTCTGCATTTATGCGAACGCTGCCTCCGGTGTCAACTCGAATACAACATCGACAGGTCGCTCTCCCTCGAGAGTTATCTACCTGTTCACATGTTTTCATACGAGTAGATTCGGTACGCAAACCTTTGCAACAACCTTACGAAGGCCCTTTTCGCGTGATCGCTCGTCACGAAAAGACCTTCAAGGTTGATCGCCACGGCCGCGTCGAGATCGTCAGCATTGATCGTCTCAAACCAGCACACGTCGATGACAGTGCTCTATCTGACAACCTGAGATTCAATGCTAAACCTAGCAAACCTACTAGCGGGATCCTCAAACCATCTTCAGGTCCCGCGCTAGATACATCTGAGACCTCATTCTCACGTCCCAGTCAACAGCACGCGTCATCTCCACTGTCTACGGACGAGACGACAGTCTCACGTCCAGATCAGCAGACCACGCCGCCCTTGACTTCGGATGAGAGTGCAGGCTCACGCGACGCGAACGAGACTGCCGTCTCACGTTCCGGTCGCCGAGTACGGTTACCCG